ACTGATAGGATAGATAAACATCAAAGGAGAAGAGCTGTATTGGGACCAATGAGGCAGACCAAATAAAGATTGTGGATAAAAAAACTTAACCTTTAAATACTTACTGCATTGTTTACTTAGTTACTCTAACTCCTGTGGTTAATATTTAATCTCAATTTCCTTGTTTTAGTTTTATGTCCCTGTTCATCATGAATTATTTTGGTTTTGCTCGGATCTCTTGGCTTTGAATTGCCAATCTATAGGTCACGAGGCAGTTGCTGCAAATTTGTGAAACTCTAAACCCATTTTAGTTCATATGCAAAAATTGTACTTAATTACGTAATGGAATATGTATAAGTTTTGTAGATATGAAAGAATTTTCAAAAAAACACTGCATAAGATTCAGATTTTACTTTGTTTGAAGTTTACCTATAGCCCTTTGAAGTGTCGTTTCCTTAGCTTTCTTTTAGCAAATAAGGACTGTTTTGCAGATTAAACCCAATATTAAGTCACCATATATAGTTTGTTACACCTCTAGACTTGTGTGAAAAATATCTATGGCATCGTCTGGTTGCTACCCCCAAGTCATTTCAATAGGTGTCACTGGCTCTGGGACTATTACTGAGAGATGAGGTAAAGGTAGCAATTTAGACAAAGTCTGCCATGTAACTCTACATAAACAAAGCTATTCTGATGATAGGCACTGACATAATATGCAAACTAAACTTAATCGGCTATCAGTCCTGAATTCCTAGGTAAACAGATCCAGAAAATTAACTCAGGAAGTTTACTTTTTCTTGGGCTTTTTTTTAATTTTGCGGCCTTCCCACATTTGCGTAGAGTGCTTGCAGTGAGAACTGGAGACACCTCAAGATAATGACAGAACATTTACAATTTGCTTACTGGGACGGTGAACTCCATTTCTATGTGTGATAATGCCACCGGCAGATGACAATCACTCCGTTCTTTCACTGTCTCTGTGTGTAGACTGACAATTAATGACGCTTTTCTGTACCTGGATTTAATTAATTTACATTAAGGAGTCATTAAATATAGATATTTATTGTGCAATAAAGTTTCGGAAGTAAACATATATTGCGTGTTCAGACAATTTATGACGGTGACCAAAGCATACTATGTTTGAAACTGTGATGAAAATTTCATCATGAAGGAAAGATTGTGAAGAAGTTAAATTTGATGACAGAGACAATTGTCCATTCAATCAATGAATTCATTTTCCATAATGTCTTCAATTAATATTGAGTATGATGAACACTACAGACGAGGGTGTACTTTGATATGGGACTCCAAGAGAATTTTGTCAGGGGGACAGAAGAATGGAAGCAAAAGAAAAGTGTATCTTATTGATGGGAATTTTTTACAAAAAAGCCGAGTATTATCTAAAATTAAGTATTTCGAATCCAAAGACAATGGAAAGAAGATTTGTAAAAACACAAGAAAGGTAAAAGTGGAGATTTCTTTGACTATACTGGAATGTGTCAGCTTTGTTTACAGAAGTGTTTGTTTTGGGAATATCTATTGAATTAATCTCTGATGTTATTATTTTTCTTTGTGCAGGGTTAATTTATTTGTATATATTTCTTAATATTCAACTGAATGCGTTTTTGACAATATTCATTGTAAGTTAATGTGTAAACCTTGAATAAGACCTTTAGGCCATTAGTAGAGTTCAACAATACTTGTATTTTTTTTTTTTTCAAATCATGAGTTGCTAGATGAGATCTTGTAGGCAATTTTGTTGTCAGCTCTGGACAGCGATAATTTGGATATTTAACATTGCCCTCAGACAGTAAAGATCCCAATTTGTTTATTCACACAGTCACCTTGAGGAGAAAATTATTAATTGTGTGTTTTTTCTTTTATTCCTTCACTAGAATATTTTCTTTTTAAAAATTTCCTAGGCTTTAGTGTTCTTTCAAGAGGGCAAGTGACATAACATGTAAACAGTTCATTTATATCCATTACAGATTTTGGGAAAATGCCCTTAAAAAGATCGATTTGTGTATCCGAACTTCATGCTAGATTTGTTTAAACTAAAGTTTTGCTCGAGACAGCCTTTTCCGTTTGTAATTAAACAATATGTCAGTTAAACGATTAGTGTAATTTCCTTTTCTATTAAATTATCTGGGAGGGTAGAAACACAATCTCTGTTGTAGTGCATTGTCATAAACATCATACAGGACTATTTTAAGACAGGATTATATAGAAGCATATATGTGTTGCAATATATAGCTATGGTAATACATGTATATAAATCATGAGGGGTTGTGAATTTGTGTACATTGCAAGTCACGGAGATATCTGAAGAGGTTTTTTCCTGGAACTTGGCTAGGATTTTTTTCTTATCAGTATTGAGTACCAATAAATTTTTTTTTTAAATCGGTTTTAAAAAAAGAAGGAAGAAGAATGATAAAAAAAAAAAGAGACGATCACATGCAGAAAAAAAATGATGACAGTTCATATTAATCGATAAGAAAGCCAATCACCTTCCATTCTATTTTTGTTTTGGAAGTGTAAGAAGAAAAAGGGGGCTTTGAGTAATTAGTGTAAAGTGTAATTCTGACAGATTATGAATATATCTATCAGTGCATTGTAACCACAGTGACAGGAAACAAAAGATGGATGGCACCATGAGACGACTGTGACAATGTATTTTCCGTACAGTTCTTTGTTTGCATGGTTGTGGGTTTTGCACCACATTTACTTTGATAAGACACAAATTATAATAGCAAGAGAAACTCGTGTTTGACAGGGTTTTTTTTCCCCTTTAGATTATACAAAGTGAAAAAAAATAAGTTAAGTGGCTGAAATATATTTTTAGTCATTAAGAATTTGGATTCATTTATTTGGAAGTTACATGTTTGGTTTTGAAAGTTAAATTCAATAGAACCATTCTGAATGCACCTTATCTGAAAACTTTCATAGATTTATTGTTGAATTTAAAAAAAAAAAAAACCCCACTCTATGCCTATTTATAGAGAATTATACTTCCTCATATATGAAAAGTTATAAGAATTTAAACAGGTGGAACTTTCCTAATATTGCATATTTTTAGAACCTTTTTTTTTGGGGGGGGGGGGGGGGGTATATGATGCTCTTCTGCAATTCCTCCCCGTGTTTTGTGTAGCAAGTAAAATTTTTTACCAATTTCAGACTAAGACTTGTACACTCTGGGAAAAAAAATATCTAAAAAGTGTTGAAGTCTGTTTCACCAAATTACTAGTGTTGTGTATCACACTCTTTAAGGATATATATTATGTCTTCGGTCTATTGACCAAGAGAAATGCACAGTATTGTGAAATTACCAATCTTGGTGTACCCAGCCTTGGGATAGCTTGAAAGTATCGTATTAATACACAGCAAGTCGGTATTGACGGTGCTTTATAGTTTTATTTGTGGTAAATGAATGCAATGTTCGTGCTGCACCCATCTCAAAGTCTACGATTTTCATATGTCTTTTGATGGTTTCCCTGACAGTCTGTCTGTTTAGTGTTATTTTTTTTATGTCCAGGTCATATTTTTCATACTGTGAAGCTTGGGACCATCAAACTTTGTCAGTTGCTCTATCTTAGGGGAAAGGTGTGTCCAAACCCAGAAGTAGTGATAATAACCTCATTTTACAATCGTCAGATTATGTCTGGATCATTTCTTGCACACTATGAGGTGTAGGTCCCTCATACCCTGTCAGTTGATGCATCTTGGAGGAAAGGTGTGTCGCAACCCAAAAGCAGGTCACATTGACTTTATTTTGGAACATAATATATACATTTGATTTATCAAAGTGGGTGAATTCAAAATGAAATAAATTCAAAGAAGAGAGAGGTATCTCTTTACCGGGTAACTCAACTATGTCTGGGGAATTTAAAACAGAGCAAAATTGTTTTCAGTGTGATACAGAGAAAACAACCCCGCACATAGAAGTCAAATCATATCTGCTTCATAACTTGCACAGTGTGATGATTCTTGATGCATCTTGGTATTTTGAAATCCCAAATGAGGTTGTGGGGACCTCATTTTAGAATGGACTGTCCATGGTCAAATTTTTCTCAGCTCATAACCTGCACACTGCAAGGCTTTAAAACCATCAAACCCTATCAATTGATGCATCTTTTTGGAGATTTTTTTTTCAGCATCCAAAAGGACACTGTAACTGTATTTCGAATTTCTGTAGCTTATAGTCAAATCATGCCTGGGTCATATCTTTCACACTGTTAAATTTAAGGACCATGAAACCTTATCAGTTGATGCATCATTGGAAGGAAAGTTTTTTTTTTTACCAAAAAGTAGGTCATTTGACCTTCTTTTGGCCTTATATGGCTATGTGTACATCATGGAGAACTTCAAACACGATATAGGAAGTTTGAAAATGAGAGGATAACAGATTTTAAGCTTGTAGGTGGGAGTATATAGCATGTACCCTTGTGGTGCACGTCATTAAAAACTCAAGAATAATCATATTCTATAATGTAGATTTGAATTCATTGAGGAAATGAGTGTGTCCTATACTGTATGCAGTGTCATAATTGGTACCTTCAATAATTTTTGGAAATTAATAATTTTTCAATAGTAGAGAGAAATTTATCACCATCGTAGTAATTAGTGCTATACAGAACAGGGAAAACAAATAACTCATGTCTAATCACACTTGATCATTTGATTGACTGGTGTACAAATTTCCTTGTACATGTAATTATAATTTTAATGGAAAAAGTGCATTGGTTTTTTTTATTGGTTTGTGGGGTGAATATTTGTGTGTTTTGCCTATATGTCTTCTTCAAATGGTAAAACAAAGCTACAGAAGGTTGTAAACCATTTTCATTTTTCATTGAAGAAAGTTGTACATGGATTAAATTTACTTTGCAATGGAACTTAAGTTACATGCAATACCTCTGTGTAATTCAATGTATAAATGTTTAGCTGTGTTCATAAGTAAGTTTTAGGTTTTGAATGTTTATTGTAATGATGAACAGACATGTGAAAGTCTTCATGTTCTTTTTCAGCTCCGTATTCAGTTCGACGACAAGGCACTCTCCACCCATGAGTATCAGTCGGAGAACTCCGCTTTGGCACAGTATTTGGAGGAAAATCCACACGAAAAAGAAGAGGTAGTGAAGGAACAAGTGGAAATTGAGCAGGCAACACTTAGTCTTGATGTGGATAACACAGAATCCAGTGATGATGTGGAATCACCACGAGAGTCATCCGCCATGAAATCCAACACTGCCATTGGGACGGGTTCAGGTGAGTTGGAAGTTATCGTGTCAGAAATGTGTGACCTTCCTTACATTGTACGGAGAATGTTTATTTCTAGAAAACGTGGTCATTTATGTGATAAAGGGATAATAGGGAAAAAAAAAGTCTTGTCTCCGATAAAGATTTTATTTAAATGATAAAAATGGTTTACAATCATCTGTGCCCAACCTAAACAGGAAATGTTTAAACATTTGATACAGCATTCTGGTGAGATAATGGGTTTATTGACCACGGATGGACAGTCACAGAATTTCATATAGTTGCCATCTGACGATATCAAACAAATTAAGGAATTCTTATTTGTGTTACTGTATATCTTAATCTATATAATTGATAGTGTTTGTATCATATTAATTACAAACATTGACCCCTGATAAATGTAACAATTCCCTATAGTCATGACCTTGATTTTTTTCACCCTGGGTTTCAACATATAAGTTACTTTGGCCATATAAGTCCTTCAGTCTTCAGAATTTCTTTGTTTAGCTGGAATACTACGTCAGGTTTTAATTTAAAACTTCTGAAGATACTTTAAACTCATTTGAATGGTATTTTTTTCTGACTTTTGTGTCTCGAAAAGAAAACCTTAAGGGTAATCAGACTTAAAACACCACCATTTTAAACTGAACTTTAAACAAAGGTCGCAGTTTCATTTGTGGAACAGACATATTATTGATGAGTCACCTGTGTGTTTGTATGTAGGTGTAAATTAAGCAATACCTTAACGTTTCAGATGTTGTGTCACTTAAGACAAAGACCCATTATATTACTTTAATTAATTCCTTTCATTGAGGCAGAATTTGTTTTTTTAACATGACATAATCATGTAGGAACAAAGGCATATTAAGTATACTTCAAATGAAAATTGTTTCTACCTTTACCTGGTATTATTTGATCTATTTACCAAAATGAAAGTCCAATTTTTAAGTTGCTATAATGTTTTTTTAAGTTGCGCAATTTTATTTTATTTTTTTAAGCTCCCTGAAATGCATTGAGAGATTTATTTTCCCACTGTTTAAACAAAAATATATCTTTGAAGATAACCTGAGTTTAAAGAGCATGCAATGTCTCATGCACTTCAATGGCAAAAGTTCACAAAATATCTGGTTGAATTTTCACTGTATAAACTATGCATCATCTACTTTAAAAGAGATAACAGAATTTGAATTTTACATGAATTTAAATCACCCCATAGCAAGTTATATTACTTGCTCCTTTAACTTATTAAGATGAATTCATCTTTCTTTCCATATTATGTGCGCTTATCTGATAAAAATAAAGTCATTTTGTTTGAATTTCTTTTTTTTATGCATGTGCCATGTTCCTGGTTAAAGTTATCTGTAAACATGCACAATCTATTCTTTGTATTGTCACAATGTATTGACGTGCTGGACATTTTGGGAATGTTCATGCTTCACAGAGATAAGGAATCATTACACCTGCTTATTGTAATCAGATTAAACACAGACTTGTTACTTTGTATTTGATAATATTACATTTTGTGCAGACTAAAATTTAACCAATTTCCCAGACAATGAGTCTAAAATTCCTGGTATGGGACTAGATATAGAAATCAGGGCTAAAAAATAAGAGTGACTGGTGTGAGAAATGTTGAGTGTTGACTACGTATTTTACCAAAGAAAAATGAGTAAAATTTGCTTATTTAGCAAAATTAATTCAATGTTAATTTTTTTCCTCTTCCTTTTTGTAATTAGTGCACTTGATTAAAAGAATTAGAGGAAATGAACTTTAAAAAGTCATCTCTTTATTGCCACAGCTTTTCCTTTGTTTTGGAAATATGCAAAATTGTCAAGAGAAATGCCATTGGACTTTTTTTTCACTTCCTTTACACTGTACGCAGTTTCATTTTCCTTGCAGTTTTGATTTTGTTTTAAAATAAAGACTACATGAACATGATGAAAAGTATTTTAATTGATTGAAAAATAAATGGATTAAAAGTCACAAATTATTATTTTTATTAATTTAAAATGCAAGAATTACTGTGGGCAAATAATTGTGAACCAATATTCTTTCCAGGATTAAAATAAACTTTGTTTTCTGTTGTATAACAGTATAGGGTTTAATATGCTGTTTAAAAGTTGCGTTGTCCAAAAATAATTTACATCCTTTCATTTTACAGGAGAGCTCAGTAATTATAAGTCAAAGATCCAGTTGGATGAATTTCAGTTTGGAATGTCCATGGAGGAACCAGAACCTGTTCCCACACCAGCTCCGGATCAAGAGGTTAATGCGGAAGAAGGGGACCTATGCCCTGCAGAGGATGAGAGCTCCATAAACTTTACTGCAACTGGAACTTCTGACATAATGTTCTAACTGGAACCTCCAACATGATGTTCTAACTGTTCATTACTGGGGGCACTTAACCTCTACAGCTTTCTCATGGCCTCTTGATTTATTTGAAATCTGGTGGAGATAATTTTTTTCTCTATTCAGCCTCTGCTCTTCAAGAGGGAAACTGGATCAGTAGAAAATCTTTGCTAGTGTTCAGGGGAGAGTTGGACCAGAACTTGTGGATGTGTGCATGTGCACATAATGTGCTAGTTTGCAAATGCATTAATGTGCTTATTTCATAACAGTTCATACACTGTACATCGGTCTGAAATGTAGTATTTATTGACAATATTTACATCATTTAGTGCTTTTTGTCAGACTTTTTAATTTGATGTGTGTGTGACTCTTTGTCAGTTTAGTTGGTACATGTAGCCATATTGATTACAGGACAGTCTGTAAATTAGGGATTGATAAATACCCAGAAAATTGGAGACTTTTAACAAAAAAAAATCTTTAGGAAGCCTTGTAACAGATGGTGATAATTAGGTGTTTGTTGGGTTGCATTTGTTAGAAACATGTATCCGGGGATGCCATTCAGAGCCAAAGAAAAGAAAAATCATTGTAATCTCATTAGAAGGTTACCCCTTTTTCCTGTTGGGTTAACACAAACTGTGTACTTCAAACGAGAGTTTCCATGTTAATTTGGAAATACAGAGCAGGTCTCTACCGACGTAAATGCTAGTTTGCTTTTGCTCAAATTAGCTAAGCATGTAAACCAAAAAAATGTGTATATGAGAGCTGCTTTTTATAATCACATTCCAAAGCTTCTGTCCTTAGAATGTTTGGTGAAAAAATAATTTTGTACTTTCTTAACTTTCATCAGCTTTGCATTCCAATTTTTTTTTTTGTTTGTTTGAATTGTTATATGTGTAATATATCTTATTCTATAAATCTTTGTTGTTCATGCTCAATATATATGTTATCATTTTGATTAATTTGTTGATTTTTACTAAAAAGAAAAATTTCAGAGAAGAATTTTTACATCTAGAGCTTTTAAATAAAATAATGCAATATATCAATGCGTTTGTAATATTCATGATCAAGATATGTGTGATTAATGTTTATCGAGGGTTTCCTTATATGTACATTGTATTAATTGTCTTTTTTTATAGTTTGACAAATTGCATTCATGTAGTGTTTTGTGATATTTCAATATTGATCTGGTGTAATAATTGTTTGCGTCACATTGATCAGAGATTTATATAAGTTTGATCGAATGTTTTGTTGAAATGAAAGAGGAAGAAAACAATGTGCATGAAATTTATTTCTGAACACGATTTATTTACTTTATTGTCAGATATGCAGGATACTTTATACAGATTTGAAATGGGCAAATAGTAAATATTTGATAAACAGTTGAAATTCTCTTAGTAAAGACCAAGTCACTTAGGATTTAAAAAATCGATTTTTTAATAACTGTTTGCTGTACAGGTAACATTAAAAAAATTTTGCATGTCTAGAGATGATCTTTGTCTTAGGTCTCAAACTGTGTGCTTTATTGGATCAACAAAGGTTTTTTTTTTTTTTAATAACAAATGCATTTTTTTATCTTTATAGACTAACATGAATTTCTAAGCCAAGCTTTCATTATTATGTATTAGTAAATACACGATTCAACTGCATTCCATTTATTGACATACAAGAAGTAATACTGTTTATTTTGCATTGCCATGACTTAATAGTGCATTCCTAACAACAAAAATTGCTTATTTATTGTACACTGTAGATTAGCATTTACATTATTTTGTTTCAATGTTGATTGACATGTAGTGCATTTATAAAACATGCATGAGGAAACAGTTTATTTAGTTGACATTTTATGCAGGTATAGTTTGATTATGTCTGGTTTGCATATTCATCAAATTGGATTGCATACTTAAAACATATTTATTAATAATTAAGCATTGTATAAACATAAATTTTATATTAGTACCCATATAAATTGATATAAAAGATATTCAGACTCCAGATATCTATTTCAATCTCCGTAAACTGTAAACTATAATCATGATGACAGATTTATGTGTATCATCAGAAAAAAAATTGTGCTCTGATTAAATCGGCAATGTTGCAACATGTACGAACAAATGTACTACCTATATGTTCAGATGGGCATGTTATGTCATGCATTCAGAAGTGTTGATGAATTGTTCTTTTTTTCCGTGAGTAGGAAGAAATCCATTGTCTTACTATCCATTTTCCTGTCTCTTTTGTTAAATGAATTCTCTCATACAAGGTCATGTGCCTTGTGTCGTCTCTTAAGAATTGGAGTTAGGTCCCTTGGTAGTAAACCACTGCTTTGTTGTGATTGTCTCTCTAAACTTCATTTTGTTTTTACTCATGCGAGCTTCAGATACTCGAGAATATATTGTCTCATTTGTTTGCTATTTGTAGTGAGCTCTTACTTCTAACAGAAATACATTCTATGCAAAATTTTAGAAGGTAGGAAGTACTTAATGTAGTTAGAGTATGACAGGAAATTTTGTCTTGTTCAGTATGTGGAGCACATACAATGTGGAAGTGTGACTCACTTAACTGGATTTCATGTTGTCTCTTATTGGGATTGTAGCAGGGATGTAGCAAAACACATGTCATGTAGATTTCACCGAAATCTTTTGGGATTTTTTTCTCTTTCATTTTTTTCCTCTGTGATTTTACCAAATTTTTGTTATTTCACATTAAAGCTTGCATATGTTTTATCATTTTGTGTATCATATATTTTTTCAATAAAGTCATATATATGCACAGATATGGTTTATTGTATTTAATAATTTTATGAGAGAACATTGACAAAAAGGTTTTTGTAAACATACAGTTTGGGTATAAAGTATCAACGTGTTTGCGACAGGAAGAAAACTAAAAGGAGGGGGCTACTAGACTATTCTCAAAGTAACTATGATGATTTTAAAGGTGAAGTTTATGTTTAAACATAACTAAAGATGGTTCTTCCTCATTGAATTATGGCCATTTAAAAGCTAAATCAAGTCAGTGGCTTGATACTGTTTGTCCATCCACCTGTCTTCATCAATTTTGCATTCAGCTCTGTTGTCCAATGGTGTGTTGTTTTTTCTTTCATCTTTCATGACTGATGCATCAATATATCAGTCATGAAACACAACAGAAAAAAAATTATTTGTCATATATTTGATATTTGTAAATGTTTACCAACTACTGCATTGGTCAAATTTAAAAAGATGCACAGTTTTTCAACAAGCCAAACAAAGATGTATAACAAGACCTGTGACTCGCTTCTAATTATGGGCACTTTGCGAAAGAACAGCCACTGCCTATGTCTTAGGTTTGATGGGGTGCCAGGATTGAGAATCAAATCTAGGTCTCCTGATTGCCTAGTCAGTGCCTAACCACTAGGCTACTGTGATTGGTACAAAAAAGTAGTTGTCGTCCGTTTTTCGCGAAAGCGAGGGGACATTAAATCTCATTCGTCTGTCAGTCACAAAAACTTTAACCTTGTCATAACATTTAATTGAGAAGAGAAGAGGGCTTTCATATTTCACATGTGTATTACCTGTGGCAAGACCTTTTCAAATACACTGTGAATTTTGACTCTGTGACTTTGACCTTGAAGTTTGACCTACTTCTTAAACAATTTATCTTTGCTTATAACTTTTTATTGAGAAAAGATAGGGCTTTGATATTTGACATGTGCATTACCTGTGACAAGACCTTTTCAAATATTTTATGATTTTTGATCCATTGACCTTGAAGTTTGACCTACTTTTCAAATATTTTAACATTACTTAAAATTGGTCATAAAATTTAAATGAAAAAAAAAGATGGGACTTTCATATTACATAAGTTCATCATCTGTGACAAGACCTTTCCAAGTACGCTATGGTTTTTGACTCCATGACCTTGAAGTTTGACCTACTTTTCAAAAATTTTATCAATGCTTATAACTTTTGATTGCGAAAAGATAAGGCTTTCATAACTGACATGTGCATTACCTTTGACAAGATTTTTCTGAGCATGCTATGATTTTTGACATTTGACCTTCATGTTTGACCTAATATTCAAAAATTTTAACTTTGGTGATTACATTTGAATGACATATGATAGGGTATCATATTTGACAAGTGCATTACCTGTGTCAAAATGTTTCTGAATGTGCTATGATATTTGACCCCATGACCTTGACCTTCAAGATTGACCTAATTTTCAAACATTTTACATGTAGATTCTACATGTAAACTGTTCAAAGCATTGCTCCCAGGGTTAAGGTGGGGCCACAATAGGAAATCAAAGTTTAAATTGGAATATATTGGAACAAATCTTTAAAAATCTTCCTCTCAAGAACCACTGGACCAGAAAAGCTGAAACTTATGTGGAAGCTTCTCGACATAATGTAGATTTTACATTGTTCAAATCATAGCCCCTGGGGGTAGGACAGGACCACAAAAGATGATCAAAATCTTAAATTGGACTTTATACATGTATGTTGTAAGAAATTTTTCAAAAATCTTAACCATTATAGAACCGTTATTGATAATTTTCAAACATTTTGAACAAGTGTGATTCAATTTTTCTTTTAAAGTCATATATGGCATATTTTTTATAAGTTCAGACTAACTAAAATTAAAAAGATCTTTTTATGTTTGTTATTAGAAATTTAAAACAATAACCGATTTATTTACCGAGTCTGCATTTAAATAACAGACACAGTTTAAAGTCAATTTAACTATGAAAACATGAGGTTATTCAAGTTCAAAATCAGTGAAAATTCTTTGAATGTAATTAACATTTATCATGTTTATCTACACTCAATCTCGTATTTTTATTTTTTAGCTCAGATACGCCATATATAGCTTTAAATAATAAATCCTGGGTAAGAGTTGGCTAAACTGGTATCAAATTTTACATGATGCATATATAGAGGAAAAGAATCATCTTCTCCACAACTGCAAGGTTATGTTGATCATATTGATATTGAAGCACACACCCGCATGTTGTGTGGATTGAGAGACCCCTTAAAGTTAGGGTGGAGCCATAATGTGGAGTCACAATTTTTATAGGAATGTAAAGAGAAAAATCTTTTAAAAATCCTCTTAAAAAGAGCTGGGCTTCAGTTACTCAGATGAGGATGAGCATTGTGGCCCATGGGCCTATTGTTACTCTGTTACGGACCTTGAGATAAGTAAAAAAAAAAAATGCTTTTTACTCTGTTGAGGATGAGCTTACATGATTAATTAATCAGGATGAGCAATTTCAAATACAGCAAGAATACAAATAAGTGAGAGGTTCATTTGCACAACTTCTCAATTTCAACAGTCTTTAATTTCTGTAGATAAATTTTCAAACAAGGGCCCCATTCAACCCTGGACTCATGAGTTGGAGAAAATTAATTGAAATCTGGTCCATCATTAGAAAATACAATTTTCTATCCTGTATTCTTCCTATAAAATAGCTACCACTGGTTCTTTAGAAAGAATTAAAGGAGAGAAGACTTTAATAAAAGCTTGGAATGTAAAAATGCTTCTTAATTTAGTTTTGTTATTCAAATATAATTGTAAACATACAAACTGGCTGATTTTGTATTTTCAATCAAACATGTCATGATGCAATATTTGATGTATGGATAAATTTATAGCCTTTTACATTGCCATACATGTACCATGTAGTAGTTTGGGATATATCACCCTTTATTACATATTATGATACATTTCTCAAAAGAATGTATAGAGAGTACCCAGAATTTACAGAGCCATATCGGCCCGCAATGTAAATGCCCGGGCACTACTTTTGTGTTTGTGACAACACAATATATTTTCCAGTCTCTCCATTCTTAATGACATCACACACGTATATTTGACATCACAAATATCAATTGAACTACCAGTTGCTTATATTTCGAGGATGTTTATGACAAGAAACTCAGAGATACCATATAAGAATTGAAAAAAAATTGTAATTGGCATTAAAAAATGTAAAAGGTTAATGACTGAATATTGGGAAATATGTCCACCTTTAGTGCAGAGGTCAAGGTTACGATTCCCACTTCAGCCATATATTTTCATTACGTTTTTGTAAATTTTCATTGCAAGTTGATTTATTCTCCTTTCCTACCTCATCCCTACAAGCCTTAAGAAATTTAGTGCAGAAAAGGAGTGTACTGCAGAAAAGGAGTGTACAATAATACCCCTTACTCGTACAAAAACACCACAAAAAAAAAACACACACCAAAAAACAAGATGTGTCTGTGAAACAATGATGCCCCTATATGGCACCTCAAGGCCAAGGTTAAAGCTTTTGAAATGTAGGTCAATCTTCAAGGTCAAGAGTTCAAAAATCTTGATACCCAAAGAAAGGTCTTGTCACAAGGAATACACATTCATGTGAAATATGATATCTCTAGTATCAAACATTCAGAAAATATGGCCAAGGTTGAAGTTTTTCAAAAAGTAGGTCATACTCCAAGGTCAATGTCATGAGGTTAAAAAATAATGGTACGTGTACCAAAGGAAAAGTCTTGTCATATGGAATGCATAAGTGAAATAAGAAAACCCTAGCAGCAACCTTTCAAAAGTTACAGGCAAGGTTAAAGTTTTTCAAATGTAGGTCAAACTCCAAAGTCAAGGTCATGAGGTAAAAAATGTTGGTACCAAAAGAAAGGTCTCTTCACAAGGAATACACATGGGATATTTGAAAGTCCTAACACCCACCATTCTAAAGATATGTCCAAGGTAAAGTTTTTTTAAGTTTATCAAAAGTAGGTCAAACTCAGAGGTCAAGGTTAGAAAGTAAAGAATGTTTGTACCAAAAAGAAAAGTCAAGACACATGGAATACTAGTATACGTGTAAACTATAAAAGCCCTAGCTCCAACCATTCAAAAGTTATGGCCAAGGTTTAAGTTTGGTAAATTTTTGCAAAAGTAGGTCAAACTCCAAGGTCAAGAGGTCAAATAAGTTGGTACCCAAAGAAAAATCTTGTCACTTGGAATACACATGTGAAATATGAAAGCCCTAGTACATGTACCAACCATTCAAAAGTTATGGGCAAAGTTTTTGCAGACCAAAAACTGTATCCCCCAAATCTTTACTGGGGCAAAAAAAAAATATGCATGTTTCCTTTTATTAAATAAATGTATTAAACTTCTGATCTAACAAAATGGAAATTTAAAATCTGACTTAATGATGATGATGATAAAAATGAGGATGACATTAAGTACATGTATCTCTCTTAACACACAAGAAAAAAATATCATAATCTGCTATAAAATATTGGACAACATTTCTTCATGAGTCAATGATTTCACATCAAAATGGAAACCAACTCTAATCTGTCAAAGTAAAAAAGTAATGCAGCTCAGTTCAAAATACATGAACAATGCTGAACTTACATGTATACCTCTCGGAGGTAACATAAATAAGTGCCAAGACACATATTCTGATTTAAAATAATGGTAGTCTTAGAATTGCAGAATTACTACATAACTTAACAACAATAATGTACATCAGCTGAATTGGTCTGCACACATAATGGTGAAAAATATAACTATTGGTACCACAATGACCACTGTTTTGATTTTTCTGTATAAGAATGTGTTGGAATTTGCCAGCAAATACAAGATATTGAAATGCACAAAAGAAGCACTTGTATTTAGCACTAAACAATAACTAAAGCAATTGATAAACAAAATCATTCTGACACATTCATACTATCTCATAGAGATAAAAACAAAAATTCAGATTTATTCTATTCCTCTTCATAAAAAATACATATTTCAAACTATGTTGTCTTGATATAATGGGCAAACTTCACAAAAATAAGTCACTTTGAAAGACATGTTTGTGGCAGAACATTTCCCTCACTAAAAGAATTCGTCAATATCAAATCCATCATTTCCTGTTCCTGTCATCTGTTCGCCCTCATCTTCACTGTCTGACACAGCAAGGTCATTGTTTATATCAGTCTCCATGGCAACAGGTGCAGACCCCTCCCCCGACTCCTCCTGTTTGATTTGATTGGCTGCTGCCTCCTGTGCCAGTGAGCTGTGCATGAAAAAGTCTGAGGGATCAAAACTGTTCTCATCTTCCTCTTGGAAGTGGACCGGATACTGATAATACTGTTCAGAGTTTTCAAACTGAGACATACTGAGTTCACTCTGGAAATCTTTGCTGTCCTGGTCACCTGTTTAAGATTGAAGAAGTGTTTGATTTACGTTAGTATAACACATTTAGTACAAGTGTAAAATCCAATGCAAATGTTGTTTGATGTTGTCAACTGGCATCCAAGACATATAATGTATAAAAATTCCACAAATTAAAGTATTTCATTTACATGTACTTGTTCAGAAATAAGTTCCAATACTTGAAATTCATTAACCAATTATTTAACCTCAGGTAATTAAAAGAGAGAGAGAGAGAGAGATCAATAGCTGATAAAGAAAATGATGTACCCATATCTTCATTGTCAGAGTTTTCAGGAGTTATCTGTAAATCTTGAGCCAGACCATCACCCTGACTTGAGGCATCTAGCTGCTCCTGAAGTTTTAATACAATATGACGTATGAAACAATGTTCAGATAGCATTTCAAATACTGTGGAATCATCAACATTTGTAGAGGAAAATTGTCCACGGATTTCGTGGGTCACATTACCACAAACATAAATTTCCATGAACAATAACTATGTTGATGCATTCACATTGAATCTTCTGTATTTACGGAGGGATTCTTCTCATACTTCTTGTATTTAAAAATTAATGAAATTGTTATAGATTCAAGTAGATGTAATCACCAAGTGTTGGTATCAATTAGATAAAATTTGACCGTTTTATTTTAGAAGCAAGGTCAGGTCAAGTTCATTTTCTTCTTCCTTGATATTAAGAATAAAAATTACTGTTGCCAATCATGCGATGCTTACTTCCATTTCAAAAGATTAAATGTTTTTCTTTTTGCATAAAAAGATATAATCATGTAGGGTCTATCAGATGATACTACCAAATTGACATAAATAATTTAACTGAAACAGATATTGGCTAATCCGAATTTCCTTTATTTTTCTTAAATTTTTAGGATATATTAGTTATTTTTATATGCGTCGTATATTTAAATTTTTCTCATTTTCACATATGGTATAGTAGTTTTATAAAGATACAAAATGATACAAAAACAAAAAGTTTTGACTGTTTGATGAGAGAAAAAAACACTTTTAATTGATTTTTTGCTCAATTCTTTACTTAGATTGGAATCTATTAAAAGCTAATAAAATTGTAGTTTGTTTGGAAAATCATATTTATTTGATATGTTTTAAAACTTTAGTCCATCGTTATTAATTTTACCTACATTCGAAAATTTCTTTAAGTCTCTGATTGTTTAAAAGTTTTAACTAAATTCATTGTTCTATAATAATTTTGAGAAGCAGAAAAGGAGATATTTTCATATGCCGCCATTCCACCAAAAATATAGTCCCTGCTAGATTTCAAACTCAGTTTACCATTTCTATTTAAAGTCATACAATTATGATGAGATAAAAAATATGATCATTTAAATTCCTTACATCTAAATATATAAGACATATAACCAGATATACTTTGAATATATCATCTAGTCAGAAACCAGACAAGAATCCCTCCTTAAGAATACTCAAAAATTACATATCCATGAACCAGTAAAATTTTCCCCTGGACATTGACCCCAATGAATTAAAATGATTTCACAGTTCATTAATTTGAACATAAAACACAACTTATTTTTTTTTTGATAAATAAATATGATGATTAATACTGCATATTAATAACAAATATTTCTGTGACCAATATTAAACGGAGTGCATCCGTACCTGATCCACTCCATCCTGAGTGTCTGCGTTCTCATCATCTCCCTCTATGTCTACATACTCCGAGTCATATCCCGAGTTTCCTGACTGATTCAACTAAAATACAAATACATGTATTTCAGAAAGATGTTAAATGTAATACCTACATGTTATTGATAATGGAATTTGAACAGAATTTTCCTCTGATAACTAATGCTTTTACCCCTTTCCTGGTGTTTAATGCCATCATACTGTCATCATTCGTGTCCTCAGCAATTGTGATATTCTCTCTCGAGGCAGACATGCTGGCATCTTCAATGCTCTCATTGTCCAGTCCTACAACAAAGATCGATATATTCAAATTTGAAATGCACTAGTTATGTATATTTATGTGTACATGGATGTTATTAAACCTGGCACATGTTCAGGTCAAACTAAAGGTATTACTGCATTGAACACTACTTGTTTATTCATAACATTTGTTTTGAAGCCCAGTAAGAAAAACATATAGCATGGAACAAATAATGTCCTATTATACCACACTTTTTTTCTTTTAAATTTTTTTTATATATATATTTAATATTTGCTAGCTCTCTGAATACAACCTACCAAACAGACTGCTATCCTCTGGATTAGCAGATGTCCCCGTCATGATGCTGTCAGTTTCTACTGCCTCCAGAGCTGCTTCCTGTGCAGCACGAATGTCATTCTCCATCTGACTCAGGCTCTCCTCATTCTAAAAAACAAATAATTATATATTTTTTGGTACAAATAAATCATTCCACATCACCAAATATACAGCTCTACCATCAGAAATTATCTATACATCAAAATTATCACACCTCTATTAAGATTATGTATGAATCCCAAAAATATATCTCTCTTTATAGAAAAATGAAAGGGGATCTTTTGATGAGAGCTGGAGGCCCTGGAAAAACTTTTTTCATCATTTTCTCTCTCTCTCCGTTTTGTTAAACACTTGGGGGAAAAATATTACAAAGGCATCAAAATTCATTCTGTTATTAATTGCTATGCACCTTGAATATATCAAAAATGATTCCTGGGTGCTATAAGATATCTCACCTCTTGTAGCCTTTCCCTACAAAGTTCACTCATTTTGAGGGCAGTTTTTGTGTAGTTGCTGCCTGGTCCATTGTATTTCTCACAGTTTTGGTAGATAAGGTCTACATCTGCCAAAAACTGCTCTCTGGTCTGATATTTATGGCTTTGTACGTTCTGCAATCAAATTGTTTGGTCAGAAATATATAACTCATAAGGAGCCTACCTAATGATTCCCTTCCAAACAAGTATTACATATGCACAGTTGTAAAACCCTGCACAATTTTGTTTTAAGAATATACATGTAATTCATCTTGGTACAGACTTTTAGGATGAAAAGCTCTGAAGAATATTTTCCTTTTTGATATTGATTGATAAATGATATTAATAATTCTAAGACAAAAGACACAATAATATGTAAATACTCTACTTACCTTTAGCAGAGAGGATAGATCCATAGGTTTCTTAATGACATCATAGTAATCCTTTACAAACTTGCGATTGACAGGTTGATGGAAAGGCCAAGACTGAAAATCAAATTAATAAGGTCTTGAAATCTACTCTTCTTTTTTTCTTTTAAATTGTAATCAATCTTTCAATTTTATTAGATTCGGAATACTTAGTAATTGTCCTGCACTTACTATAGTAAAACAAATGGATCAGAATGACTATTTATCATGTTAATGAAATTTGAGGGTTGAATGAAAATCTGTATAATTTTATACCTGTGTTCTAAAATCAAAACATAAATCTGTTGAATTTTTGCCCAGCGAAAATAAGTACAGTATAAAGATCATGATAACTTTTCAAAGGTAGATCCCTTACATTTTCTATGGCTTTCATCTGTGCTATGATATTCTCCAGTATAAAGGAGAAAGCCACCTGGTCATTATCATCTAACAGTGGGTTAATGGCCTTCTCCAGCCTCATCAACTTATCTTCTTTCTGTAATTAAAACTTAATCAGTTGTAGTCAGTCCAGGGGGAATAATTTAAGACATATGTAAATTCAACTTCAATTTTCTCTGGCAATGCACAGAGAGGTTGTAACCAGTCCAAGGGGAATAATCTACAGATAAGCATCTTCCTCCAATTTGTCACACATATTCCGTCAGTCCAAGGAATATGACATATAAACATTCAATCTTATCTTTCTCAAATTCTCAGACAAAAAGACATTATTTAACAGTTAATATCCAGTCCTTGCGAAATCAAATTTTAACCTCCATCCCCACCCCCCTCTTACTCTTAACATACAATGTGTCACATACCTCTGCAAATCTTTTGAAGACCAGCTCCATCATCTTCTGAGCAGTGAGAGTAAGGGCACTTTTTGGACCTGGAAGCAAAATTTACATGGTCATTTTTCACAGTCTGGCATTGTGAAAGTTTTTGAACTGCTGTAAATGTGGATATTTATGAGTGTATTCATGAATGAAATATGAAAAACCATACATTTGGGGTTTATTTCTGTGACGTTAGGATGACATACAGTGTATTCATAATACTGAATAAAATATGTACAGATGCATTGGTATGCATGGAAATATTTATGTGAAACAATTTTTATTCATATTTAGCATAAATTACCCCCACATGGTAATTTCCATTTCTGCAGTATTGCATACTGGGGAAATTTTGACCTCTCTGAATGTTACTAAAGACAATTTAAAAATGATGCAAGACATTATTGTTTCTTCAATTAAAATTTCCAGGCAAACAGTAATATGAACCAGTAAGAAAGAATAAATAAGTGGTTTGTAATTCTTACCATTGTAGAGTTTACAATTCTCCACAATTTGATTCACGTCAATAAGAAACCTCTCTCTGGATTCATACTTTCTGGACCTTATGTTCTAAAAATAACAATTTTATTATTTGATTTCATTTCATAGAGACTCTGATTGCTATGACATTATTCATTATATGCTTATTATATGTATCACGATCACAGAAAATATACAGTGCACCAATAGCTGAATATCATTTAAATGAGTCCATACTTCTCTCATTGTCTGAAGATCCATAGGAGTTTTGATGACTCTGTGATAATCTGGCACTTCTTTTGCACTGACAGGGAACAAAAATGGCTGGGTCTGAAATTCAGGCCAACAGTGGAAATATAATGTTCAAGTTAAGATTTTGAAATCCTGATACATGTTACTAATTCATATTACCATAACAAATATTTTTCTAGTTTTTTATTTGATCCTTGTTGATCGAATTTCATTTTTTGCATATCCATTTCAATTGCTATACTCGACCGGTAGAAATATTAAACAATGTCAATTTTTACTGAACTTAAAAGTGGGAAACTGCTAAAAAAAATGACTTACATTTGGTAAATCCCTCATCTCATTCAAAATGTGCTCAAAGATGGTGGAGAGTGTCACAAGTGGGTCTGTTCTTCTTCTGTTTGAAGTCTGCTTAGGTTTCTATAATAAAGTATGAGCAAACTGACATAATTGTCTTATTGCAAAACAATTTGATGTTGGAGCTAAATGTGTTGATTTGGCATTCATGTAACAAATTTTGAAAGCACCTATTCAATACAAATGAATGATTTCATGCATTTTTACCTTCAGATAATCACAGTGAATAACAGTTCCAAATCGTTTCTTCTTCTCTGCTTTTGTGACTTGTTTTGGGAACTTCAGAACTAATGACTTTCTCTTCACTTGCTCAGCACTGTAAAATGATATTTTCAATTTTAATAAATGTCATGAAAAAAAGGTAAACTTGATGACAATATTTCCAACAAAATATCATTTAACTGAAATTTGATTATAACACATGCTATCTTTATTCAATAGATGTAGTATATCTCAGAAAATTTACTCCATGTGCTGTATTTTTTGCCAAAATCCATCAAAATGAGAATTGTGCCCTCTTCAAGAATTGCCCCAAACCCATTTTATTGTCTGCATTAGTTAACTGGATGATAAGTGAAGATTTCAGAAAGTACTGTTTGTTATATAACAAATTAGCCTAGTTTAAATTCACTCATCGAGAATGATAGTGTAAATTTCAAACATAAAACATGTATACAAAATATTCCTAGTATACAGTACTACACAAGTGGTAAAATATGACTTACTGTTCAACAAGGTTCTTGGAGAACATGATCCTGGTGCCCTCGACCTTAATGAGGTCATCATTCTGGAGGAGACTCTTCTCCTCCTCTTCCTCTTGCTCCTCAGTCATGGCGACCTGAACTGGAGCAGTGCTAGGCCCTGACTTGTTATACATTGGACACTCCTTGTTCGTCCTCATGTGACCAATCTGTCCACAGGCTCCACATTTCAACTACAATAAATACACACTGTTTGAATTTAAATGGCCATACAGAGTGCTTTCTTATATTTAAGGCTCAAAATCACTGTCTTTATCTGAATCATTAAGAATAAAATCTAAATTCTTCACTTTGCTGTTGAATGGTGTTTCCTGCTTTTTCTTTTTCTTGGTTGGCGGTGGTGCCTGCTGGGCTCTCTCTTCATTTCTTTTTATCCTCCTCAACCTCTCTTGTAACCTGACATCATAGAAAGTCACTCATTTATTCATAACAAATTTAATAGATCTTGACATTATCATAAAAAGTATGACAGCATCATTTTAGCTATTTTTCCCCCTCCTACTAAAACTATACACACCTCCTCTTTTCCCTCCTCATTTCTTCCTTCAGTTGCTCATCAATTAAAGCAAATGATTTTCTGCAAAATAAAATACGAAACACTTGCAAACACTTAAATTGTAAAGCTACAGATTTCCAACATAAAAAGGGAAAAGGTTTTACAGAAAACAAAATAATTACATGAATGAAGTGTCTTTCTTCTCTCGGATCCTGACGTAGGTGTCAATCACAGCGGGTTTCACCACCCACTCTGTCCTAGTGTAAGTAGAACCATTGTCATCCTTAAATGTCCTCGTGATCTTTAGCTTTCTACCAACCTAAAAAAAAAAACAATCGTAAATTCAACTTGAAAATCTATATCAAGGACATAATGCACTTTCACTCCTTTCCAGTGCTAAATGTCTTTATCTATGTCCACCAAGTCCACTAAGTCTGATTTTTTTTCAATACATGTATATATGCTGCATATATCCTTACCGCAGGACCAGAGTCTTCCTCTTTCTTGGACTTGCTTAATTTGTCTCCCTTGTCCTTCCCATCTTCTCCACCCATCAACATCTTCCTCAACTCTCTTCTTTCTGCTTCTTCTTTCTCATGAGACAACTGTGTGAGAGGAAAAAAGTAAGCATTTCTTACAAATGATTAGAAAGAGTTGAATGGTATCAATGGTAAGACAAAGAAGAAAGATCTTGAAATTTTACATCAAAATTCAGAGAGAAAAGAAATATGGGTCAAGGGTAAATAGGTTTCACTTAAATATCATGCATTAACTCTGTAACTACATGTAATTAACTGTTGTTATGCTTTCAAAAAGCCTGACGACATAAGCACCTGAGAGCTGGTCTTTTTATTTGAGAGCATGCTCTCCAGATTCTTCCCCATCTCCTCAAAGTCTGAGTCATTGTCTGAGCTGGATCCCTCATCTGTGGACAGTGCTTCCTCAGAAGCTAGAACCCTACAGAATGAACAAATTCTTACCACGTGCTAAATTCTGGTCACAATTTTAGTATCAGTATGCATGCTTATCATTTTTTGTTCTAATTTTGTAAAAATGTTGCTTCACCTGTTCTGAAGATCAAATATTCTCTGGCATTCCTCCCTATAACGCTCTTGATGTTCCGCCACTGAGAATCTGTTTCCTCTGGCAAATTTACTCATACCAGCTTGAAAAATAAAAAAAATTACTGCAGGAACTTCCCATGTACATTTGATTTTAAAGCATTTCAAATTGAGAGTAATGCAAAATGTGACTATGTAAACAATCTAATAATTTACCTTTTCCTTCCTGCCCTGCTTTGGCCTGCTCTGTTGACATTGTTCTGACCACATCAATGACCTCCCATCTAGACAACTTCTTGATCTGCATAACACAAAAAATATCATTCAAAGGACATCCAAGGAATTGGAACACACCAAATTATTCAACAAAATACCTAGTTAATTTTCTTCAGAACCCACCTCTGAGTCTGGAACTTGGAATTTTCTCAACAGCTGTTTAGCATCCTTCAGACTTAGCTTTCTCAGATCTGCATCTGTACCTGTGACTGTCTTTTTCTGAGGGGTTTGCTCCTTACCCTCCTCCTTCGGCTGAGGTTTGTTGGGGACTTTCACATAAGAGAACCCTTCCCCACAGCCTGTAGGATCTGCTGCACCATTTAAGTCCAGTAAACATTTCCCTTTAACAGCACTAATGTAGGCTCTTGTAGTATTCCAAGGAGCAGTTTTTACCTGTAAAAAAATTACAATTTATAATATTAACTATACATTTCAATTTAACTGTACTGAAAAAGACTTTGCAAATAGAAACCCAACCCAAGCTGTTTTTTTTTACCTCGTCTTCTATTTTAGATTGAGTATCTTCCTCATTATCATCTTCAGGTGCAAATAATGACTTCTCCCCATAACCAGCATCCTAAAAATAGTTTTATTGTCACAATTTGCATTTGTGAAACTGACTTTACTATGAAAGTGTAAAAATGTATAGGATAAAGTTTTATTGCTCAGTTGTAATATTCTATGATTTTGCACATAGACTAGTTCTCTGTAGAAAATTTTACCTTGAAAACCACAAGCTTAATCAAATTGTAAATATCCAGCTAATAGCTTTATAATTTGTTGCAAATATCTACAAATGTACATTTATTCAAGCATGGTTATCTGTATGTATGTAACAAAAAAAAAATATTTCTCTGTGCATATTCATCAATGTCACGTCAGACTGGAGAACTCCCTTTGTTCATGTACAATCTCTATGACAAAGCGATTCCAACATATTAATTTAATTTCCCTTCACACAACGAATAAATTTAAATCTGTTTAACTGTCTGTTAAATCAAATTAAGTTCAATCTACAGTATTTACTCTGAGCTGTTTTAATGCTATGCAGGTGACACAAAATTCATTTGAATGAAAATCAATCTTCCATAAGCTTTTGGCCTCATTTCCTGACCTTGAGCCTCTGTTCAGCCCCCAGCATACTGAAGTATCCACAGCACTGCTCTGGGGACACCATGGCTCTCATCTCCTCCTCTGTGGGTAGGCGAAAGTCTGGTTTCACCACCCACCAGTTAGAGTCCATTCCTTGAAAGAAAGAGTCACTATGTATGTTAGACTTTCAAGATTACATATCAGCAGAAAACCAAAGGCATTACCTATACATGAACACGTACCTGTTCTTTTGAAGTCTGCACATAATTTTAGTCTCTTTCTAATACTGCTTTCTGAATGGTTTGGAAAAGCCTTCTTGATGTCATCCATTTTTATTCTTCTTGGATTATCTTTACTTTTCCAAAACAATCGATATATGAAGACCTACAAAAGCAAGAGTAATTTTGTTTATACTGCATTATAAATAAATATGATGTAAAAACACAAATATTGTTATTCAAAACCTCACCTGTAGAAAGTCTCTGATAAAATTGTTTGCCCTTTTAGAATTTGGACCTGGAACTTCAAACAGTGGACATTCCTGACCAACAGTGTAGATAGTCTCTACTTCTCTTATAAAGAAACTGATAAAGGAAAAAAATTCAAACTTAAACCCGAAAACTTATCAAGATTTATTCTGAAATTTATTTACAGTATTTTTCTACATTTTAAATTCAAACTTTGCCTAAAAAAATTTTTCCACTTAAATTCCAATTCACTTTATCTGAATGCCAATTTCTTTGAGAAAGAAAAAGATACATACTTTTGTCTATTTCTGATGATTAGGAAATCTGTTTCTGGCACTTTGTGCTCATATATAGGTGCCCTAAACATGTTATTCTCAAAAGCCTGAATAGATTGTCCTGGCATGAGAGTTCCCAGGAATGGAGATGTATGAGCATAAGACAGCTCTCCATATTTATATGCTGGTGGCTGGGAATCTTTTCCAGGTTTCTTAAATAGAATAAAAACTGCAAATTAAGATCCACTGACCCTCTGATAAGAGAGATAACTCTCTCTGGGGTAAATGACAAATAATCCTTTATAATTTTGTCAAGCTAACAGGCCATTTCTGTCAAATTTTGCCCTGCAAAGTATGTAGAAATTGTGTGCATTTGAATTATAAATTAGAGTTCTTTTGGCAAAACATAACCATTGAGGAAAAAATACACGATTGAGCAGAGGGATGATGGACCTTAAACTTAATACAATATTACAATATACAATATTATGCAAACATCATTTTGCATTTAGACAAGTATCTGTGCATGTTCAATTTTCTTGCATGGTAATGCAATGTAATGAAGATGTATTTTTCTTAAAATTTTAAGGAAAGATTAAAATTAGTGCAGGAGTCAGCATCTTGGAAAACTACTATGTAACACAAACCAAAATTCTTATAAGTGGTCTTACCCTTTTGTAGTAGTTTTTAATCTTGGTGGCCATGCCAACTTGCATCAGGAGTGGAGGATATTCCTCAGAATATTCTGCCATTATGATTTCCCCATCCATTCCAGTCAGATCCTGGGGGGTCCTCATAAAGAAGATGTCACCTCCTCCATAGGCCAGTCTCTCTTGCTCCCTCATCTGTAATGTCACAACATACAGTCAGTCAAGGACATCTAACAAAAGTTCAAGTCTTGTTCATGTTGACTACAAATTTCATATTAATCAATAACCATATTCTCTGATTTAAATTTGATGTACTTTTAATTCTGTTTCTTATACCATTAAATCATGCAACAATGCATTACTGTTTTCAATTCAACTCTCGTTTTGTTTACACATTGTAAAAGCAACATCCACACTAAAACATCTCTCTTGAAATTTTTTAAGAATTTTCAAATATCCAGTATCTAATCTCATTTAATTAGGTAACAATATATTACAATATGGCCTCATGCGTCTTCCAGGGCACAGAGAGGATAAGTAATTGAATAATACATTACTATTAGGGTTGTCACGGTTCCAAAATTTTTCAGGTCCGGTCGGTTCTGTAAATTTTCGGTTCGGTTTCGGGTTTTTCGGTTCGGTTATTTACATCTATCTTAAACCTTAATTTCATGAATTTAACTTGAAAAATCTTTATTTGTTACATTAAACTTACCTTGAAAACAAGTCTTAACCATGCGAACATCTAGACATCGGTGTGTAGAACTACTTGGTCTACTATTAGCCACAACCTGGCCATTCCTGCTCGTTTTGATAATTATCTAATACTTCCGTGACAAGTGTTTTGTCATGGAATGAAGTAGATTTCAGTTGTGATGTTTATTTATCACTGTTATCGTCATCATTCCTTTGATTTCGACGCCATTTTTTGTATTGAACAGACTCTAATATATAAACCAGACCCGAACCAAAATCCGGAAAAATGGAACCGAAACCGAACCGAACAACTTGGACCGCGGTTCTCAGTTATTTCGAGTACCCGTGACAGCCCTAATTACTATGTTCTCAATTCAACCCTACTGTGATTTTAATAACAATAATTTATTCTTTTGAAAATTTCTACAAATTTTCCAATATCCTTTACCCTTGCTTTCCTCTTGATCTGTTTGAGGAGTGGGAGGACCTGGTGAGGACCATGTGTTGACATAGGACCATGGGAGTACTTCTTCAACTGAGGTCGATGGAAGCTCCTCAATTTCATTGGACCCATATGTGTGGGGAAGAAAGGCTGTCTCAACTCTAAGGCTGGAGTGGAATGCTAACAAAGTTGAAGACAAAAATCTTAATATTGCCAAATTAGATAATAAGAGTTCAATCCTGGGAAAGCTTAAGTTGGTAATTATATCATTACAATAATATACATTTATATGTATGTACAGAAGATGTAAAAATAAATCTAGATTTTGCACAAGGTAATTATCATTTTTCAACAAGTTGACCAAATAAATTATCATTTAACTTGTTTTACTATTTCTATGGCTATTTATGAGAAAATATGTAAATTTTCTGTCTTTGATAAAAGCTAACGTCAAAGTTTTCATAACCTTTGTGCTATCTAGATGTACCCGGTAAATTTATGGACACATTTTTGTGTTAGAAATTTTAAATCAAGGGATACTTCTAAAACTGAAATCTCAACAAAATAAAGATGCCCACACAGCGATTTACCTGAATAAGACTTTTTCCTATCCCTCCTTTGATGGCACTGTCCAGTAACTTTGGATTGTAATACTCATCATTAGACAGGTTAAATGGGTCCTTTGTCTGCATTGTTGGGGTCTGATCCTATAAATATACCAGTAGTGTACTCAGTGTGGTGTACGAAAAGTCCAGACATTTTAGCACCAAGACATTTCAATATATCTTAGTTGTGTAAGGTGTTTGGGAAAAAAATCAGAATATGGTAATACATGTAGTTTAGGTTCCTGATCACCATCTTATCACTCTTCATTGCTCATAGATTTACACATCATAAAAAATGGGGAATACATTTAATCATTTACATCAGAATTGAACTTGAGCATCTTGAGGAAGAAGAAAAGTAATTTCTCCTGAGTAAAATTGAACAGAGAGTTACCTCTTCCTCTTCTCCATCATCCTTGATGATTCCTGCTTTCCCAAGAAGAAGCTTTGATTTTTTCACCTCTGCCTGTTAAATATAAAATGGGCACTACATAAATACAATTTTTCAAACAAGACCTTGACAATGATGTCAATCCACTGTTCTGGACATCAAATGAGGAAAAGTTGACTAGACTTTTCATATAGGAACATGTATGAAACTTATGCATATAGACATATAGATATATAAATGTACATGTACTTCACTCAAAGATAAAAAAAAAAAGTCTTTTATCACCAGCACATTAGACAATTTCCTAAAATGCCACAAAAAATGCACTTACTGTTGTTCATATATGCTCAAGTATTGCCAACTGTGTTTAAAATCTTCCAAAATTAACCAGCGGAATTATAAAGAGGATGTTTATGATATAAAAGAAAATACCTTCTCCTTTTTGACAGGCTCTTTACTTTTTTCGTTGGGATCTTTATCCTCTGGGATTTCCAGGATAATATTGTCATCATTGGGATCCAAAGTCAGCACAGGGGGAGTAGGGATTTTCTCCATGTTCTACAAAAATATACAGTGGAGCCTGGTTAATCCCGACACCAATAATCCCAATGCTTCACCTTTCTTATGACATTTGTGGGGAATAATTTATACTTGTACAGTCAAACCTCGTTATCTTGAACTCAATGGGACCAAGAAAAAACTTTGAGATATTCAATGATTCGAGATACCGAAGGTAAAATACACATAGAATAAGTGGTTGGGACTTCCAAATCACTTTGACATTTTCATTGTATGAAATCACAATGAATATGTCGAATGAAATATCAGTATTCGAGATACCAAAGTTCAAATGTATACACCAAATATTTTTCTTTAATTAGAACACTTTATTAATCCAGAAAATTTGCTCATAAACACAAGCATCCTGATTAATGAGACTCAACTGTACAGTATACTAGTCAATCTTTTCATACTTTGTATATTACTTATTATGTCATGTATATCTTAAAGCAGTTTTGTGATTGGATTTAGAATTATTGCCACACAAATATTGCTCCATACAGTGTCAGTATACTTCAGTATGAAGTTTTGATTTTTAATGTTTACAGATCCATTATTGATTCTATTTATGATAATGTTTAAGCACACAAAAAAAAATATGTATTAGGACAAGTACTGTGGAATCATCATTGTTCATTGGGACCAATGTTCATGGATAACCAAAAATTTGACTGGTTGGTGGAGATGTAATTCCATGTGTAACTTGCATATTCATAAGATAAATAAATCAAAGGTGCTAAACGTATGTATGTTTCAATGTTCGTCAATATCGAGTCATGTGACATGTGTCCTGTCTCTCCTTCAGTTTAAATTTCTATCGTACATGATTAGTATAATAAATTTACCTCTGCATCCCAAATGATATCATCCTCCCACCTCTTATAGAGGAGATCCCTGTTCTCAATTGGAAATATAGAATACCATGTCTCTTTGTCCTTACTCTGGTCTATGCCATCTAGACCTGTACAAAAATCAATTACATATATATCACTAAGCTGCATAGATATACTAATATACATGTATGGCTGACCTTGGACAAAATCCAAAGTAGATGCTCATTGGATACCTGTTTGAGTTTGTCCTGGCTTGTATACCGGGGAGATTCCTGGAAGCGTTTTGGAATAACCAGGAGTCATGAAGTTGGGTGTCATTTTTGGAGACATTCCAGAAGATGGGATCTGAACTGCTGATGACAAAATTTTGTTTTTGAGATTTTAGCCATTTAAATTGTACAGATATTTAATATCAACCAACAGCTATAAACAGAAAACTGGATTTACCCTGTTGCGTGAACATGGACGCTGTCCTATACTGAGTGCTTGGTATCCAACCTGCAGATAAAGCCTTCTGTTTCTGTAATTGGAGGATTTTTTGCTTCACATCTTCTCCATTCCAAATAATATCATCCTCCCAGTTCAGTTGGGTGACCATTAGGAATGCCTCGGGATTCATCTTCAGATTCTCAAGTTCTTTCTTATCAGCCTCAATCTCCTCTTTCTGTATTGGAAAGTGTTAAGTTTAGACTTATATATACAGTGTAAATGTCTACAGCAATGCAAAAAAGCAGAACATTTTCTTTAATCCTTAATTGAAATAAATGATCTTAAAATTTGTATATAATCCACATTCTGTAATACTCTATATAGCAATCATTTTCATAATGTGCCAAAATTTAAAATTAAAGTTGACAAGATGAATGATACAAAAAAGCCCAATCTTACGGGTTTCATCTTGAATCCATAGTCAAAGTCCTCTCCTGATTCATCCACTCCTAATAAATCATACCAGTACTGGGCAGGGCCATAACGCCATGGGGCAATCTTAATCCCACCACTCTCTTCTTTGCCCTTGGAGGTTGTCCCTGTGACTGATTTGTGCTCCAGTGGCTTCAGAAGCATCTCCTTAATTGGCAATTAGACAAATTATTGTTAACCACATTTCATCAATCCTGAAACTAGTAAATTTGTTTGTCATCTATGAATCTAAGGGGAAAAAAATTGTACTGTAAGATTTAACAAATAAATTGGATTGCCATCAGTCAATTTTCAACTGGAGAGGGTTTTTATAGGCATTATCTGTTGATAAATTCTAAAAGTTTTTTCTTAAATAAATATTGCTTAAGGTAAACTAAAAAATTCTGAGAAATCAAAACACTGCATTAACTGTTAACCTCATCATCAGGCAAACATTCCTCTGGTTTTGGCAATCTTCCAAAGTTGAGTTTTATTGGCTCCTCCCACTCGGCCTCTTCCTGCTCTTCCTCGCTACTGATTGGTTCATCAGCTGAACTTTCACCTTCAGAAGGTGGCTCATGAGCTCTTTTGTTATGCTCTGCCTCAGCTATAACTCTTTCCAGTGGAGTCATTGTTAAGCGTTGTTCCTCCTGTTTTGCTTTTTTATCTAAATTATGTTTTTTTTTCAAATATTAATCAAGATGACATGATGCTGTACAAAAAGGAAAAGCATGATAAGAATAAAGAAAACAAGAAGATAACTAACCTTCCTCTGATAACTCTTTTTGATTGTCCTTTTCTTCCTCTGCTGGTTTCTTTTTCTTCTTTCTTTTATACAAGTGATGTACATATTGTGGCTTGAATAGCCTGGAAAACCTCAACACCTGTAAACAAATAATCCAGATTTAGTTTTCTTTTTGTGTAATTTTCATTACAGTTTCAAAACAGGACTGAAAATTCAGTCAATATATGGTGAACAGTGAACTGGTGCAATCTTTCACTGAATGACTGCCTTATCATCAACAGCTGACAGCAACAATTATTTAACACTACATACATGTATGTAACATTGACACGATCAAACATGTATGTACAGTTTAGAGAAAGCACATAGTGACATACATGTACATCATGTTATTCAAAACTATGAAAGTTACAGTGTGGTCAAGTTTGGCTTCATTGTCATTTCTGGTGCATCGTTAAACTATCCTATGGAAAAATTAAACTTCAGTCTAAAATTTATTTGTTTTGAATGGTTTCAAAATAAATTTTGACATAAATGTCCATAGTTGTCCAGATCCATCAAACTCCTCTATAATACACACCTGCCCATGTCTGAATTCCGGAAACAGTGCTGTGACGTCTATATCACTGAGTTCCTCTGGTAACATGGCAGCCAGTGGAGTAGCCACCTTGGCCTTATCAGGGCTGCTCTTTGAGGGAGACAGTTTACTTGTGCTGTCATCTGTTTTAGGGGGTTTAGGCACCCAAGATGGTGGAGGCATTAATTTGATATCTTTTTCATCATCATAATCATCCTCTTCTGTGCTTACTTTAAAAAACGGATAAAGGATACATGGTTAAAACATTACTAGCCTCAGTATTACAATATATACACCCTTTTAATCAAATCACTATCTTTTATAAATGATGACACATTCAATAACAAAGAGTAGGTGACTTGCTGAAATAAAATAGGAAATACCCTGTGAAATGCATTCTTAAAAAGGGAAAACCTTTCTCATATAATGGAACAGATGGGTGATTGTATTTCTGTGTTCTGTTTTATGAGAAGAGGAACATAAAATTACTCTCTCACTCAGCATTGGGGAGGGGGGGGGGGGTGTTATGTTTTAAAAGAAAATAATACCTTTCATAGGCAAAGCAAGACTTTGCATAGCTTCCTTCACTCTCTCTGTCTCTTCATCCACAGTTTCATTGATATCTGAATAATCAATTGCTGATGGGGACTTGGCAGTGAAGTCCTCTGTACAAAAAATAAAAACCATTGCATATACTTAGTACATGTATCAAATAATTAGGTGTGCAAATTCAATTTCTGTAAGCAGTTCAATATCACAATAAGTAAACAGGGTTGAAAATTACTCTGGAAAAAAGTACCTGATACATTTTCATAATCATTTTGCTCATCTTCTCCCTGAACCTCGGTGATCTCTTTGACCATCACACCTATACCTCCAAGGGAACTCAGAGAACCCAAATGTCTTTTAGATTCCTGAATAAACATAACTTAATATGAATCTTCTTTACTTTTTGCTAATTGCATAAAAAAAATATTCCTTATAATTAATACCTTTATTCTAAAATGCTCTTATGATATATATTGCACTATCAATGTAGATTTTATAACTCAGATTAACACCTGTTATGGATGCTTGGGAAACAAAATATAAAGCATTAAAAATGCATGGTCTATAAAATTATTACAAAGAAGCAACATAAAATACCTCATCCAAAAAATCTTCAGTCAGATCACCCTTTTCATCAATGTTTCCAAACAGAAATCCAGTCAATGAAGACATGGTCTGATCAGAAGGGTCATGCTCATCTTCACTGTCCATCTTGGTGATATTAAGTCTCTTAACTTGAATCAATTAGAACCCAACAGGATAAGTTTAAGATATCTGCATAATGGAGATTCCAAGGAGTGTATTGTTGATAGGCATTGGTCTACTTATCAGCTTATTTCACCTGCAAAAGTGGAAACATAAATATCTAATATTTGATCAACTTTTAATGCATTAAAACCTACTTTTCTATAGCCCAGTTGACAGGTAGCTGCAGAACTGTAGCGTTATGGTTTTAAATTTTAGTCTTTGACCATAATGCTACAGATCCCGTAAGCAAATATGAAGCAATTTACAGCCCAAGATTTTCTGCACACTTCATGGATGTATTTCGCCACTTTCCAGCATTGGTCAATAAGACTAAAATTTAAAAGCATAACACTACAGTTCTGCAGCTAAGTTGACAGGCTGAAGTATTGTTGATAGGCATTGGTCTATACTTATCAGCTTATTTCACCTGCAAAAGGGAAAACATAAATATGTAATATTTGATCAACTTTTAATGCATTCAAACCTACTTTTGCTAAACTTCAGCTTTTCTACAACCTAGTTGACAGGTTGAAGTTGGGTTTACAGAAACACTGAATGTAATACATTGAGTTAAAAATTAACATCAGGTGTCTGTTGTCATTCATTATCAGATTATGTGAAAAAGGGTAATATTACTTACATTATTTATCTGTAGAATGACATTATGCCAAATAAAATGGTGTAAAAGAAGTGTTTTTAATTTGTAAAACAACTAATTCGATATATCGACGCCATTTTAATTTTCTAAATATAAAACCTTAGTCGAATAACTTAACAAATTCCGGGAAAATACAAGGTTAATAAATATTGTACTGTATGTTGAAAAGGTATAGATAACGAAGAAACAAAAGGTGTGTGCGTTTGCATTACCAAGTAACACTTAACAAACATCTTTTATTTTGCCAATTTGCTCTCAGCAATGAGATTCCTCTGGATTCTATTTTTTTTTTTTTTTACTAAATATGATCCGCTCGGAAATCAACTTAAAATACAAGGCCGTCGGAAGGTTAGGTGCGACGCCCTTAGATTAAAAAAAATATATCACTTAGTACCGAGATCTCAAAAAATTCTTAATTCCATTGTTCAAAGTTCAAAGTTCATTGTTTAAATCATAATCTCTCTCTCTCTCTCTCTCTCTCTCTCTCTCTCTCTCTCTCTCTCTCTCTCTCTCTCTCTCTCGTGACATGTAGTCTGCACGTGAAGTAGCTACATGTAGGTATGAACTACTGTATGTTTAGGAAAAAAATCACTATACATGTGATTCCATTATAAAAATTTCCTCTCCAATAACTTTTGACAAGTTTTGCTTTAATTTCACTTTTATCTACATCCTCTGTGACCAAAAAAAAATTAAAAAAAAGTTTTACAATCAAGAAAAGAGTCGTGCTTCTTTTACATTGAAATTATGAAATTAAATCAGCACGTTAAGATCGTTTACATACTGCATTAAATAAACTAATATAAATAAACTAATACATTATACCGCAGTATCAAAGAGGAAGCGGTCAATATTCGATTGACTAAGGTACTGGTTATAATGTTTTTGCTGGACCTTTTCAGGAATTAAGGATATTTTTTTTTTGATAATGCAAGTGGCATGTTTTTCTTTTCTTTTCTTTTTTCAATCCATTCAATTAAATATTTTTTGTATATAAAGTTTAGTCATACCGCGAAAGGGGGTGGGGTGCATAACCATTTTATACACTAACTGTAACAAATGATTTTCTATTTTCACATTCCCTTTGAAAAAACAAAAAACAAAACAAAAACAAACAAACAAACAATCAAAAAAAAAAAACAAACAAACAACCCCCCCCCCCCCAAAAAAACACACACGCACACACAAAAAACCATTACGGATCTACCGTAATACTTTTATCAAAGTGTACAAAAGAAACATTTGCATTTTTACTGATAAAATATTATTTTTTAAATTTAATCTTATACCTATTATATTTTAACAGTTAAAACACTGATTATATAAAATACGCACAAAGGTTAAAGCATTAAAGCATTGAAATGGTGCAATTATTCCCGTATAACTGTACTCAGCATGACACAATAATTAGTACATGTGTAATCAACAATATTGACATGTGTACATAGTCAGCTCTTAATTACACATGAGGGGCCATGTGTCAGTGCAGAGAGTTATATAGCTATACTCAACTGTAGAACCAATATATAAAGGGTAAATAACTCAACCTGTCACACACTGTCATTGAACTGATCAGTACTGAGATTTCATATTTTATCCTGTACAATACTGTTTTATACGAAAACACACAATTGTGAAGTTTGTATAAGAATTCGCTATTACAGTGTATACTGACCAAAATAATAACTTCTCCCCGACGTGCATAATTCATTATTTATATTAATAAACAGTGGTTATGTGCAATACTGATGCGAACATGTGGGGATTTTGACCGATTAACGGGTGGATGTGTCCATGTGATTAACAAATACAGTCTTATCACAGATAGATAAGATTAACTCCCGGTTTGTGGAGTGATCGGATTAGCCGAACATCCTTTGTAAATCGATCCAAAGAAGGGAAGTAGGAGGCAGCCATGTCTAGTTTGTTCTCATGTTTTGGGAAGAAAAGCAAGGTTAAAAGAGGGAATAAGGAACCCAAAGATAGATCGGTAAGATTCACTAAGTCTTATTTAATCACTTTTAGAAATTCTGAAAGCTGTTAATGCCGAAAATTTTATTTATCGTCTCGATCGCTTAGCATTGATTTTCTTTGTGTAACTGTATATATCAAAGGTGCAGGTTTGTATGTGAATTATGATATGGTAATTTAGTAATCCACAGTGTTATATATAAAACATGACTCTATGTAAAGCATACTTAAGAATACTAGAAATTGGCTGAGTATTTAATGAAATATTATGCATGAAATGGGACGTTCTATTTCATCATGTTTCATATTCATCAGTATTTCCTGTTGCGTGTATTTAATTTTATTTTTCCTGGAGGAGGAAATAATTCATGAATTTTATAGATCTCTATTTAGGGTATAGCAATAAAATATTTAGTAAATGAAATAAAATAAAGAAGCAAATATGAACGTATTTATTTATAAACACAATTTCATGTGCACAAGATGCATATATTTATGTACAAATATATGTATAAAATCAGATATTTCAGACATCTCACATCTTTGATCCCAAATTACACGATAATCAAATTCAGGCAAAATAATTATGGTAAAAAGCATTATGTAAACTAAAGCAGTGATTTACATAAATGGTGAAAATTGGTCATTTTGGTTGATTGTCAAAATCGATTCCGTTTTTTTGTTTTTTACAACTTCTTTGTGTCAGCGAAGGCAAAAGAATATCGATTTTTCAAATGTGTTAATGCCGAATTAATGATAATACAAACAGTCGGAAAATGTCATATACAAATAGACTTATTTAAAAAAGTCTAAACACTTACAAAATAATATTCATTCTTATATGAACATGAATGATGATATATGGCGATTTGATAGCTACTACGGAATAATCCAGATTAAATTCTCTGTTCACAGACTGTAAAGTCTATTCAAAATGTGTTAAAGATTTAAAACAAAACATTTAGCAAACATTTAACAGCTGTATAATCTTCAAAAGAGAGCCCGTCTTACTATACATTGTGACCATGACCCACGATCTCCGGGAATAGGGGACCAGTTATTAATTCAAAAACATTTTCTTTTTTTATTACAGAAAAATGCAAAACGGAAAGAACAAGTCCCAGTTACCATTGAGGATGAAAGAAAACCACCATTGGAAGAAAGTATTCCAGATAAAGCCCAGGTAATTACCTAATTAACATCTTGTGTGCTTTATTAATGGCGTGCTGCACTACAGGGGTTAATATTCAATATGCCACAACAAAATGTGCGTTCACTTTTTTACCAGCATTGAAAATTGTTTATTATAAAATATTGTATCAGCTCAGTGTGAAAATTTACACTTACTTATCGATCTAATAATATTTTGATTACTAGTATTTTTTAATAATTTGAAAAGAAAAAAACGTATACTATATCAATAAATGAAAAAAAAGTATATAGTTTCACACTGTGTTGAGTTTTGAGCACATCTTTTTTGTAAACAGCTAAATGGCGATGTCCATAAAGAAGAGAAGGAAGAGGCGGAGGTACCACCGCCTGAGGAGCCAAAAAGTCCTTTGATTCAAGAACTCGAAATTAAACTCCAGGATCGGAAGGATAAAAATAAAGAGAATGGGGATACCAAAACAGAAATAAAAGAAACTAAAGTTAATTCACCACAGGAGAAAGATAAAGAAGCTGAAAAGAAAATTGAGCAGACACCTCAGATAACAATTGTCGCTGTGACAGACAAGGTTGAGAAGAAAGCGCCCATCGTGGAGACGAAAGTACCCGCCGTGGAAAAAGGTGGAGAGGTCGCAGACAAGGCAGCAGATGAAGAGATAGAGAAACTAAAATCCGAGATTGCACAGCTCAGAACAGAAAATAATAAACTCAAAGAAAATGTATCGGAGAATGAGAAGCTGAAGAATAATATATCAAAAGAAAAATCACAATTGGAAGAGAAAATCAAAAGTTTGGAAGACTCTTACAAACAACTCCAAGCAAAAGAAAAAGAAACAAACACTGAATATGAAGAGTTGAAGAGATCTGTGTCAAAAGAAGGTGATAAGTTTAAAGATGAAGTTGAAGAAAGACTGGGACTTGCTCTCAAAGAGAGACAGAAAATTTTAGAATCATTTGAGGAAATTAGTAAGTTGTGCTGCAATCTTGCCCCTAGAATTGATAATATTGAATCCATAAAGGTTACCTCTAAAGAGGAGGATATAACTCCGCGGGTAGACAGTTTGGATATATCCCAGAAACTGGTCAGCAAAGACGTAACAACATTAAGACACCATATAGATGAGCTAGAACTACGAATAATTCGTCTGGAAGTTGACAAAGACAACCTGGAAGATCTTCGTAATGAAGAATCCATTGCTTTGGACAAAACGAAAAAGGAAAACACTATCTTGTTGAGCAAAATAAAGAAACTAGAAGTAGAGCTAGAAGGAAAGAAGACAAATTTAGTCCGAGTGGAAAAGGAGAAGGCTCAAATGTCAACGCAGCTTTCGTCGCTCATGACAGAAGTTGAAAGCCTAAAGCGTAAGATGGACGAATTGTCCGTAGCTCACGGTGAAAAAGAAGCCGAGTTAGAAAATTCTTTAAGGAAACATTCAACTCTGAACGAGGAAATTAAAGTCCAGGGAATCAAAATTCAGACGATGACGTCATTGATCAAAGAAAAGGAAGAGGCGTGTAACAAAGCTGATAAAAAACTCCGGGAAGCAAAAAAGCTAAACGAGGAACTTATGAAACGGTATATACTTTCGAATAAAAAAGGGGGTTATTGGGGAAGGGGTGTGAAGAGAAATTAACTCTAAGCAGAGGGTCAATATCATGAGGAAAAAATGGATAACATTCATTCAAAATTAGAAATAAAGTTAACTATTGTTTTGCTGTTTAAAGAAACTCAGTTGTGCCAAATCTGACTTTAACAAAAGAAAAAATTTCATGCACGTTGAATTATTATACAAATAGGTGTCAAACATAATATTTACAGGTTACATGAGCAAGAAAGTAAAAAACACAATGGTACCAGCCCAATGAAAATGAACGGTGCTTCCTCGCTCCATCACCAAGCCCCTATTGCAGACGACATTGACCGTCTGCGCATTATCTCAGAACGGTTCTCTGTTGAACTCTATGGTGGCCTTTGGCGGGAAGCATACGAAAAACTTACAACAGTATTCAAAAGAGAGGAAAAGAAATCGTTACAAATACTAATGGACTTCTGCACGGTAAGTTCAATATTTCCTTCTCAGTACGCATATAATTCTTTTTCACTATGTGGGTTCTTCAGTGATATAGGTATGTTGCGGAGTATTTTTAGATTTTTTTTTTTTTTGTTTTCCAGGAAGCGTACCTCCATTGTCGGAGAACAGCCAGACAACAGTTGGATTCGGTGTACTCCCTGCTGACCAATCCCTCCGTCGCACATGGACGTAACAGCATCAGCAGACGATCTCCCTCGTCCGTAAGTAGCAAGACCGCGCAATTCCATTTTTCTTATCTTCGTTCTTTATTTTGTTTTGTTTGCAGATTTAGTGTTGTTTTTTTTTATATATTTTATAACATCTTATTTTAGAATTTATGTAAGAATATTATTATACAGAAACAGTCGACGCCAGAGAACATCCCACCAAGTCTTCGTCAGCAGATTGTCCAGTTCCGGAAAGATCCATCCAGAGATTTTCTAGACAGCTTGTATGATGTAAGAATGCACTGTTTTGTTGAGCAAATGATTTTAAAAAAAATATGAAGTGATCCTTTAAATGAGCACAACTTTGGCATTGTAAGTTTCGGAGGAATAAAAATTCGTTCTAGAATCTTTTGATATGATCGTCTAAAATCGGGCGGATTTGACAGTTAAAAGTAAATGTACTAGTATACTATATGTAAAAGGATAGACAAGTATTGAAATGTGACAATCTAAAACTTTATAAACATTAAACTTATTGTATGTTGTATAATTTTTTTTAGGACTTCTTAAGTGTCTTAGATTTCCAGAAGTCCCGACACCTGAGGAGTTTCCATATGAAAGAAGTGAAGGACATCGCTCCCTACATTACAAAATGTCTGGCCATCAGCTGGGAAATGGTAGTTCAAGATCCGCCTATGTATTTACAGTTCAAAGTCAGGCACGGGACCCCCGTAGATCGGGAAAAATACAACTTTTACACAATCGAGGGCGATGTGGTGGACTACTTGGTGTGGCCCGCTGTGCTGAGGGAAGAAAATGGAGCTGTCCTGCAAAAAGGAATGGTGCAAGCCATTTCATCTAGACCTGGTTAAAATATTTCATGGTTACAAGTGCAAATCAAATTTAATGTAAATGGGTCCACTTGAAATACAATCGACATTTTTTAGAGAAGAAATTGTACATGGTTTTATCATGTTTGCTATGCTCATATTGGGTGTGTACAAATTGGAATCGTGTTGTGATTAATTTATTTTTATTCATAAGCTTTTTGATTTACAATGGTTTATACTAAAACTTTTGTCTCTATCTTGAGTCCCGAATACGTTTATCCCTGTCTATATTCAAAGCACTGCCCTGATGAGTTCACTGCCTACATCCGGAAGTCGTATCGCAGAATTTTTTATATAAAGTAGAATGGATTTTTTTCTTGCCAATATCAACAATTTATTGCTTTAAATTGAACGATTGGACTTGTTTTGCTTTTTGTGTTGTGTTCATTGACTAGTCTACTAACTTGCTCTAGACACGAAATTTATGTACACGGTTTTGGGGAATGGTATTTGTTAACAGGGAAAGGTGTTAATTGATGCTCATGATTGCATAATCTAGTCAACGGACTGGTTGTCGGTTGTCATGACTTATAGTATTACAAATATTGCAATACTTCATTTCATTGGTGCCATTTTGGGGTAGATATTTTACAATACATTAGACACAATGCTTATCTATAAGCACATTTTTTTAATTATCGATGAAATCAAATTTTTATGAATACTTTTTATAATGGCAGTTTTAACTGCAATTTTTAAACTATGATTTTAAGGAATGCGCATTTTTGCAACAGATTTTTCCTGTAGTGAGAGACACTTTCATACATGCTGCGGACATCAATTTTTGCTTGGCATTTGACCTCGTCATTTGTAATTTAAGGTTGTTTATGATAACATGTACATTTGTTGTGTCTTTTTTGTTGTTGAGAATAAAAATGATAAACGTTAGATAAATAATTTTTCTCTTTTTATATCAACTCAGGACGCAGATCTAGAAAAAAGCTCAGAAAAATGATACAATAATTAACATTATACAGCTTCACAAGCACACAAAGAGGCATGCAGAGATTTTTGAATTTCTGTACATGATCTCTTTTAAATGGTTATATTTTGGGCTTTAAATGAATTTACTGTAGATATAAGGTATCTGCTCTTTTTTTTCAGATTCTAAATGTTCAAATATGGACGATGTCTTTTAATCTAGTTGATGTAAAAATGTATAAAATACTAAATGGTCATCAAACATCCTCATAACGTCAGGAGTCCTGAGTCCACTCGTGACTGGACCCCTGACAAACTTCATTCATTTTTTTACGGTCTTGCTGCAGCAACGTATTCCGGGAAAATTACAAATCCTGATTGTTTTTCTTATCTTTCGACCAGTTAATCACATTAAGCCTATTTGTAACACGTGCATTGAGATGTCAATTGCTTATGAAAACCTAAATTTAATTGGTGCTTCTCATGAGAAAAAATACCGAATAAGTGGAGTGGAGAAAAGCATCGGTTCTTTATCGAGCGCCTTCGCCAGGTTTCTGGAGAGGAGGTGTCTTTATCATAACTGGGATTCCATAACGTCTTAGCAGTTTCCATAAGCTTTGTTTATTATTGATATCAAATGCGGTTTTTTTCCCAATATCAAGTTGATGTAAAGTATTGGTTGTAATTCTACAGATTGGTCTCAAATAATTGCAACTTTTCTGGTCTTGACAGCTTCGGTTTGATTTAAATCCAACTTGTTCGCCTCTCAGTACTTTGTTTATTGCCTCTTTTATTCTTTTCCATATTACACGACATTGGGTCTTGTTTGCTAAACAAGGCGATGTACATGTAATGCCCCTCCAATTTTTGCACAATTTAAGTTCTTGACAATCAGTCATTATTTTCCACTCAATTTGCTTTCCATATTTTGTTGAACAGTATATACACATATTTCACTACTTCTTGTCCTCCAGCCCTCAGTGCCTCTGTTCAGGCCTGTAGGAGGCAATTAAGTGTGGGGGAGGGGGGGGGGCACAGCCATACATTTTCAGTTGGTGGGGGCCGGGCAGTATCAACTACCAACAATTCCTTAACAAGCAAAAAAAAAAAGTCATCACAACGTTTTTATTGAGGTGGCAGAAGCATATAGCAGCTATGTTTTCTGTAGTAATCTATATATCGGCAAATTATTGGGAGGGGCACTGCCACCCATCCCCCCTGGTTCCTACGGCCATGCTGTTGGTATTTCGTCAATCCCTGCCGAAATTTTATACATTTTCTATATAAATAAAGATAGCGGTTTTTATTCCTTTCTTGCTTCTCCCATGTTTTGTATTCAGGTCTTCCCCTACATAAGCTGTTAAATATTGGTCTATTAAGTACTTCTTTGAAGCGTTTGTTCCATCTTCCATGTTCTTTCCAGCTGCTCCTCTAGCTTGACCAACATTTTTCTATTTTATCTTTGGTCGGTTCGGATTTACTAGATCTTCTCTTGCTCAGAGTACGTTCTGATGTTACATGATGTTTTCAGGTCTTCTCTATGAACTGTCAGCTCAGTTTCCGTAGCAGCTCGTTAACGAAATCTCTCAAATCTTGCCCGAGGTATGTTTGACTTCCTTGTCTGGCTCCTGAGATTTACTTGAAGCTTCCATCTATTGAAATTTTGTTTTTGCGTTAATTATTATATCTTTGGTTTGCCTTTTCCCCTCAACTTTCTGCCATTTTTAGTGACATCAATTCTTTCATTTTACTTAATATCTTTCAAAATACCAAAATATATCACAAAACGGCTAAACAATGACAAATATGACATCATATAAGTCTATGCTAGGTCAGGCAGTATTGAATTGAAATGCAGTTATTTTGTTTAAGCGGCAGTCATCTTGGAAAATGGCGGAAATTGCAATAGCCAACGACGATTTTTTGTCATCTGAGAAATATTGTGGCACATTCCATGCCTGTCTCCACATGTTAGCCGCTACATTCAAACAAGTTTGTCAGGGGTCCCACGACCACGTGTGGACTCGGGAACCCTAGCTGCGTTGTGACGATGGTCATGGAAGTACCGAGAGAATTCCTTACAGGATTTTAAGATCATCCCCTGTAATTCGGAAAGAAGTAATTCCCTCCTCTCATCCATCGACACGGAAAAAAGTGGTTTGGATTTTATTCGCTTATGCTCGTTGTACTTTTTAGTATTTTCTTAAGCATTTTCTTATGCTTAATGTTTGAATAGCGTGATTAAACGTCATTGTGCATTTTGAACTTCCCGGCTGCCTTGCATCTAATCGTGTTAAATGTGTGCCTAACGCCCCTCTCTTTCCTCACAGTTTGTACAATGGGTTATGAGTTAGCCCCCACTGTTCATGCAGATTTGCAGGAGATGGAAGCATACAAGAAAGAAAATGTGAACTGCCCCCCCCCCCCAAATTCCTTCCGTGCCAGCCGTCTCACTGGTAACTTGCACCCCCGGTTTTCCATGCCCTTATGCCTTTGTTCACCTCTGGTCTTCTTCTGGACACCTCACTTTTGCTTGGACCATATTTGGCCTTTCTGAAGTTGTTGCCTTTGCCCACTGCTGGAAGTGCATCATGTCCTTTGTATCACGGTACACGTATTTCAAAAAAAAATCCCTTAGGTTCCGCATGCTCTTTGCTTGGTCCTCTTACTGATTCTGGCCACTTTCTTCTCGTACATGTCTGAATGATCGCTCAAGTGACTTTGATATATGTCCATCGGTATCATGATTAGGCGACATTTACATGTAGGTACCTGAATTGAGCGTATACAACAACAACTTGAATGGCATACTATTAAGTCCTATCGGTGTAAAAGAGGGTGGGATCTAGGTAGCCATTCTATGGCTTCAGCTGTAGTGGTCACCACTTTATCTATCGGGAGAAGCCACATACGTATTAGGTAAAATCCCGGACTAGTATACATACAGGCTCTGTACTCCCAAGTCATCCTTTTCCATCCACTTTTTTAAGCCATGCCTGGACTTGCCTCTTGAGGCATCTTGTCTCAGATCTACATTTGTCTATACGAGGGATTCATCAAACCATTTCTTAAAGCATTTATTTGGGTGACCCACTATGGTTGGGATCACTTCTTGTTGACCATATATCTAAACCTGACAGTACTTTTTATCACCAAATATCTTAACTTCTTCGGCTTAAGCTTCATACTTTCCCGTGAAACACTTTTATTCAAAGCCATTAGAACCCATCTATTCTTTATGTGGGACAATATTGTCAAAGTGAGATCATCCATGAATCCTCAAATCGGAGACTGGTATAATCTGGAGTCTCTCTCTCTCTCTCTCTCTCTCTCTCTCTCTGCCTGCCACGATTATCATCCCCGTGAACAACCAGGAAAGATGGTACATCTGGTAACTATTCCTTTTTGGATTTTCTGCAAGGGTATGATGGACTCATTTACAGTATACTGTATGCCTCCGAAGTAAATTTGCAATTTGTTTATGTGCATGCCAAAAGAGAATTGGGAAATGGAAAAGCCTCGTTACATGTGGACATGTGAATCAGGCAGATTCTAGAGACTGCTTTAGGGCCCACCGACCCCGCCCCCTTTTTCACCCAACCCAATCCCCCATATAGGATTAACTAAAAACTGATGACAGAGTTGCAATGTGAGCAGTAACGAAAGTTGCATATAAGATGTGGAATACGATATATTTTTAATCAGCTGGATCACATATAATTCCACATTCTAATAATGAAATGATTTTCAACCGACTCAAGTTGTTAGTTAGAAATTAGTATTTCCCCTTTAATTTAATAAAATAATCATAAATTTATTACTTCGAACAAATCTGCCTACATTAAGAAAGAAAACACATGATTTTCTCACTTCTTTGACTTCAAAAGATTTTTGTACTTGAACAACTAACATAGCGCCAAGATCTCACAAAACTTACGGCGTACAGAGGTATATCCAATCGCAATAGAGGGCATTTCCAAATCTACTTTTGACATTCAACATTGATAGGAGAGATTCTTGTAAATTCTATTAACCTAGTTTCCGAAATAACACACGCTATTCATCTATCTATTTTTGACAGGTGTACATTTCACGCTGATTTAGGATGATTTATACTAACTACAATTAGTTTAAATTAAACTTATAGATTCCTTCACAATGCACATTATTTCCCTACCTACTTTTAACATGTACCAGATTAATTTTATATGTAAAAACACTGATCCTATAAATGTGTTTATCCCAACCTACCTGTAGCATGAGACGCCCGCGTGGCGCAGTGGATAGAGCGTTTGCTCCAGAGACGCGAAGTAAGGAGTTTAACCTTATGCCGCAGGTTCGAAACCCACTGCAAGACTGGGGTCGGATGAGATGTATAAACCAAGGCCCCGTGTCACAGTAGGTGCTGGCATGAAAAAGATCCCTCACTACTCAAAGGCCGTAAGTGGTACAGGTTTAAATTCGCAACCTTTCACCGGCAAGTGAAAAATTCTTGAAGGAATGTTAAACAAACAATATACGCTAATACTCTACCTACTTTTGATATTTACAAGATTAATTTAAAACGAGGATATTAACTTGAGCCCCGATGTTTTCTCCCACGTACCTGTAGTTTGTATCGTTTATATTCCTCCTCAAAACATGCTATTGCCGATTTCATAACCAACTTTAGACAGCAACAAGATTAAATTAACATGAAGATATTACTATGATTTCAGACATTCCTGCACAATACACGCTAATACTTCTTTGAACAGTTACAAGAATAATTTAACATGAACCCTTATCCCCCCCCTCCCCAAGTACCCGTAGCTATTCACGTGTTAAAGTTTTTAATACAAAGTAAATCAGACAACAATCAAAATTTAATCAGAATACGCCTTGTACTCTATCCCTTGACCAGCTACCACCAAAATGTAACTTGTATGATTGGGTTCTTACAAGGGATATTTAGGTTTCCTCTTACTCTGTCTGAGTTAATGATTTGAATGATAATTAAGACCGCTCTGTCTGAGGGTAAATCAAATAGTACTAAAAATTTTCCTTATCTAGAGATGGGGACTGAGTAACTAAGGTACTACTTGTGTTTCTCCTCCAGGTTCCTATTGATATGGAAGAATCGGATATCTCAATCTTCTTCAGATTTACTACACCTAGAACTTAATATCAATTCCCTAGGATACTTGCCACTGGTGCTGATATTTGTTATACTTCTATTCTGTTCTTACCCTTAATTACTTTATTTTCTCTGCCAACTTTTTCAGATACATTATGATTCAGTCGCCTGACTTCCCTAAAGCTTCGCTTGATATTCCCTTGGGCTAGTCCATGAGACTAGGGTTGTCAGGTCATTCCACTATTTGAGGTCTTCATTACGTTTTACATAAATGCATATGTTTTACATAAATAAGTCGACTTCATTGAAGAGATCAAGAACAACTAAATTGTCGTTTCTGAGAACAATTTGTGGAAAAAGTAGACCCCTTTCATTTACTAGATCTTAACTTTATTAGTTAAACGCAGTTGTTATATTCAACCCTTCAAGTTACCATGCATGTCGATGTTTACTATAAACAATACATGCATGCATCAATATAAATATGTCATAGTTACACCATTAATATCTCTTATTTAATTCAGAATGTAATTAATATCTATCTTGTTAAGTTTTCTTCCAGGAAATGTTAAGAACTGTTGTCGATGTACTTTCAAAATCCATTTATTATTATGTCTACATCATTATTTTTCTAAATATTGCATGTATTTGAAGGTAACATTGAAAGTTTTTACCCCTCGAAAACAATTGTGTAGTTGAAAAGATTCACTCCTCGAAAACCATTGTCAACCGAGATACAGCCGAGGTTGACAATGGTTTTCGAGGGATGAAAATTTTCAATGTTACTCTAAGCTACATGGAATATTTATTATATTATACTGAATGTTATATACAGATACATATAACTTTAAATAATCAGTGCGCGCATAAATTCTGCGCAGTCACTATTTTTTTTTTAAATAACAGCTGCTGTTAAGCATTGTTGACTGTTTATACGTTTTATCACGCTAGAAGGCGTGTTTTTGTTTCATTCGGAGGGTAATAGTGTTTTTAACGAATGTTAAATTTAACAAATTTGCATGAAATATAATATACGAAATTATTATAATAGGTTAGGTAATAAAACACTTATTTCATGACAACTCGGGAAATAGTCGAACTGTAGTCCTTGGTCTTCGGTCTCGGGCAACAGTTTCTCATGCCTTACCAGGGACCTATATACTAAGTATCTTATCTATCCACTACCTCGGGACAAAGTTTGGCTGTTTCCCTCTTAGTTATGAAATAAATGTATATTTATCATAGGCGTGTAATTTATGCGCGTACAGTTTGCCGTAGAATAAGACCACGTCAGTTGTGCGTTTGAAATAAGCTGGATTAACACGACGTTGAAAATAGATTGAGTCCGAGTACGATCGATTGCAAAAACAACAAACAGAAGAAAAAAATGTTTGCGAGTGTGGAAAAGCGAAATTATTGAAGGACAAAGATTTCTTGAGTACCAGACAAACAATTTAGAGGTCGTTGAATCATTTTCAAGATTTTCTTACTGAGAAAACCGTAAGCGGAGAGTTTAAAGCCTTTCAAAACGAGATCTGATTCAGAACAACTTATATCTATACGTATTTCCGATTTTTTCAGTCATTCAGTGTTATAAAATTAGTAGTGCATGATTTAGAGGGTAATAGGTGAAATGGAAACCCCTCTGAAAACCATTGTCAACCTCCGCTGACTCGTCGATTGTCAATGGTTTTCCGAGGGATGTCAATTTCAACTATACTGTTATATATATCACCAGTATGCACCCCCCCCCCTCTTTTCAACAACTTACACAGGTCCAATAGCCACTTATTTCACATAGTATCCGCCAATTCTCTATTCAATAGCACGTATTCTTATTTTAAAAAAGTACACCTGTGACCCCATCCCCACCCCCTGGGAATAGCCTTTCGAGCTACTTTCACTTTCAATTTCAACTGGGAACAACAATAATGAGGCGTTTGCTTCTGATATCAAATTCAACGCTTCATGGAGGCGGTTATTTAGATCACTGTAAGGATCAGATTATAGCTTTCCTTTCTAAGTAAGTTGAACATGGTTGTTTACAGAAAAAATTCATATTTATATTTCTTTTTTAAAGAAGGTTGTGTACATGAACGAAAAAGGGGGGCGTGTAGTCTTGAACCTAGTTTTTGTTATACCATGACGATTTTATTTATATCAACATAAAATAGTCAATATTTGACAATTTCTTTGTGGTTTTAGATTTGCAATTAGTTTTATTATACATAAATGTACATGTAATATATCACAATTTAAGATACAGAAAGTGAACCTCAGTTTGTTGTCAGTTGATTGGGGGTGGGGGGGGGGGGGTGGGGGGGGGAGGGGGGTCACTACCTTTTTTAAATTTAAGCACAGGAACTTGTCACGAAATTTTGTCTTCTTTATATATAAGAAAGCCTACTATAAAAAATACAAAAGTATTTTTATAGTAGGAGCAGGGACCTTAATATACTAGTATATAGGTACCTGGTAGGAGGCTATATATACATAAAAAAGGCAAAGTTTCGGGATAAACCCCTAATTGGTTCAACATGACATGTAATTTGAATGTTATATAAATTACCATGATTCAGTGCTGATATTTTTTTTTTCAAAATTGTGTTCAGCATGTTTGCCATTGGGATGCATGGTTGGTAGATCTCCAATTCCAGAATTTGAATTTTAGATTTTGTCATTTTCCTTCCTCTTAATTCAATATTGCAGCTAGCCAGATATGGTGGCCAGAAAGCTTTGGTCACTGGTGGCCAGATAGTTAAGCTGCTAGAGTACCTGTCTAGGGTTCGGGGGGGGGGGGGGGGCAATTTGAATCCTGGTGGGGCTCTCCATATTTTTCCCTCCCTGTTATATGTGTGGGATTTAGGCAGGTTCAATCACTGTTGGCCAGTTGGTTGTGCAAATGGCTAGTGATTCAGGGAGCATGGGTTCAAATTATGGTATGATCCGTCACATTTTTTTTTTCTCTCCAGTTACATTTTGTTTCATGCCATGCCCTGGAAGTGACAGGTGAAAGACCTGTCAGGGAAGAACCTGGGTTGGGTGTTCGTGGGGTGAAGACCTATTAAAGGAGGGAGGGATGTGGCAGTCAGGGAAGTTCAATAGCCAGTGACCAGATAGCTTAGTTGGTAGAGCAGGTTTGAATCCTGGTCTGGTCTTCTTTATTTCACTGATAATTCTGCATATATTGTCCTTTTACAGTTCTGTTCAAAAGGTTTTGTTCATTCCATATGCACTTCATGACAGAGATGGATACACAAAAATTGCAAAGACGGCATTCAATGAGATGGGTAATAGATATGCAATATTGTACATTAAGCTTCAGTTTAATGATTAAAAATGATATGTTTTGAAAGTGTAATTTTTAATTCCAGTTGGAGAGATACAATATCTATATACATGTATATGTTTTTATATTTGCAGGATATGACCTTGATGGAATTCATGAACACAAAAATGCTGTAGATGCAGTCAAGTCTGCCCAAGCTATTTTCATAGGTAGAGTTATACATGTATTGAAAAATTATTTACTTTTTATTACAATAGATTGATACTGAAAACCTTGAAGGTATTGGAATTCTATTTTAATAGGTGGAGGAAATACCTTCAGGCTGCTTAAAACACTGTATGATGAAAAGATTGTAGAGGTGATCAGAGAGAGAGTCACAAAGGTAACATAAGGGTACATGTACAGTGTATTCCAAAAACATAAACCCTAACCAGTAACTGTAAGTCACTGGGAAATAAGTGCATTGTTGAAAGTCCATATACCAGTAAATCATCAAAAAATCTATATTCTTGAGGTAGTGTAAATTGTAAAATGATATGATTTTCAAAATAAGAAGAAAAAAAATATTGTATCTCTCATATTATGTTGCATTCAAGAAAACGATCCATTGAAATGGTGTAATGAATATGAATATATTTATCTCTCTAGGAGAATGTCCCATATATTGGCTCCAGTGCTGGAACTAATGTAGCTACTCGTAGCATCAACACCACTAATGACATGCCGATAGTGTACCCACCTACATTTGATGCCATTGGTCTTGTGCCTTTCAACATAAACCCTCATTACCAGGACCCTGATCCCAACAGTAAACACATGGGGGTATGTACTATATACAGTTGAACTTTGGTATCTTGAACACTAATATCTTGAATACTATGTCGAAGTGATTTGAAAGTTGCAGATCCTTATTCTTTAAGTATTTCACCCTGGATGTCTCGAACCCTTGAATATCTCAAACTTTTTTCTCAGTCCCATTGAGTTTGAGATAACAAGGTTTGACTGTATAAAAATAGCTAGGTGCATACCAAGAATGGTCATATGATCATTGTAATTAGGAACTGTCATTTTATTACATAAATGATTAAATGTATACACAGGCTTCTCGTTGATCTATATTCAATTTACGTTAAAATCAAATATAATGAACTTTTAATAGTTGCTTAAAAAGAGAAAAATGCAATGCTTAAGATACATTTACAAGTTGGAATACCCCCCCCCCCCCCAAAAAAAAAAGAAAAAAAAGAAAAAAAAAAGGATTGAAATAAACAAACTAACACAGTAAAGAACAGTGACCATATGAGCATTACACTTTCTGGTTCTAGAACACTATAGGGACATCAAACTGTTAATAAAATATGATATTCATCTCTTTTATTTAAAGTTTTATACATTGGATATTCCTTATATGCAGGAAACCAGGGAGGCAAGAATCAAACAGTACCATGAATATGAATCCTCTCCATCAGTCCTGGTCAGTAATACTCTCTACAGTCAGAAAGATTCTCAACCATCATGTGTTTTTTTTAAGTATATCAAAATTTAAAGCTATGACTGTTCATTTTGGTTTACAATTATAATTATTTAGTATATTCATATTGGAAAAAAATAAGTAAGGATTTATATTTTTGTGTAAAGCTAAGCTTATTCTTGTTTTACTTTTGATAGGGTTTGAGGGAGGGCTGTATACTGCTGGTAGAAGGTGACAAAGCAACACTGAAAGGCAAAACAGGAGCTAGGTTATTTGTCAGGTAAAATAGATCTGTACACTTTTAAACTTTTTGTCATTTATGATAAAATTATATCGATTTAGCTCATCTGAGCCAAAGATTCAAGTAAGCTTTTCTGAAACTTAACACTCAGAAACTGTCAGAAACTTAATTAAAAATTGTTAATTTTCAGGGAGAAGGAACCAGTTGAGTACCAGCCAGATGATGATTTAAGTTTCTTGTTGTGAATTTGTTCTTATTCTTTTCTGTTATTCAAAGACAGAAACTGCATTAAAGTTGTCATATTGCATTAATGTACTTAAGATGTGTTACTTTGAGTAGTTATATTCCTGACAAGTACTTGTATAGTAATTTGTATTTTGTGTTACTTTTGTAATTCTAACTGTGATACTATCAATGCAAATGAAGTATTGGTAAATAAACAGTAATAAAAGTATAAACAGTATTGCTTGTTCTTATTCTGGTAATGAACATAGTTTAAAATCTTTTGTTGGAACATCTTGTACTTACAGTGTCTTAAAATTAAATATTGAAAATCATTTGTAAATCATTTATTTCTAGGATTTGAAATTTCATGATTAATAAAAATAATGAAATGTTTTTTTCAGTTTTTGATATAGGAATTAATGTTGCAGCTGTTGCAGAAAAATTACATAATGACACAAAAGCAGGTCATGATTTTTTTTTTCTGCAATAGGTGCAATGTATACATTCCCAGACTAAAAACCAAAGAAAGACATTGTTTCTATAGACAGTTTTCGTATGACGTATTTTCTTTCCGAGTTATTTCCCTTGGCAACCCTCTTGGTGGTCAACCTGGTAATTTTACCAAATTTAAGAGGATGTAGCAGAAATATTTGGGGGAAAATCTTTATAGAATAAAAATATGATGTAAAGGAGGCTTTTTTCAAAAAAACAATGCTTCCTACCCCACAATGGCCAGTATAAAAAGTTAAAGTTGGTTGAATAATGAAGGAATATGGGCATGTTGACCTCCAAAAAGGGGCCAACAGGAAATAACTCTTGCTAATTTAGGCCTACTAAAAACTACCTATTTATGTCTTTATAAATAATTATACAAATGAATTATGGAGATTACAAAGAGTAATCGTGCAATTTAAATAATACAAATGGGTAGCAGAGGAAACATGGACCTCCAAAAAACAGCAAAGGTGGGAATAGGTGCCATTGAGGAATAAGCATCCCCCTGTTGCCCAGTCACACCTGCCATGTGCTTCTTGTCATGATCAAGTGAACAGAAAAATCCAGATATTTCAATTGTAATTAATGGCCTAACAATTAGTATGAAAATGTTAGTCAGCATTTGACCTAATGATTGATTGTACATTACCATAGGAACAAGAGGGGGGGGGGGGCAAGGCATGCCCCCCCCCCCCCAATAATTTTGTCGATATATACAATACTATAGAAAACAGCTACTATATGCTTGTGTTCCCCTAAATAATAATGTCTGATGACCTTTTTCTTTTTTTGCTTGTCAAGGAATTTTGGTACATGATAGTGCCCCTCCCCCAACCGAAAATGTATGGTTGTGCCCCCTCAAAGTGAAATTGCTTCCTACAGGCCTGTTGTATTTTCTGATAAGGTCATTGTATTATAGTATTGACCATAGAACTTGTGAAATGATGACTTAAGAAGAGACTGTTGATATCCTGCATTTCTTAACTTGTTCAGGTCCATAGGAAGCAATTTCAGCTTGGGGGGGGGGGGGGGGCAAACAACCATATTTTATCAGTTGGGGGCACTATCAACTTCCTAAAATTCCTTGACAAGCAAAAAAAAAAAAAAAAAGGGGGGGGGGGGTCATCAGACATTATTATTGAGGGGGAACAATCATATAGTAGTTATATTCTCTATAGTATTCTATATATTGACAAAATTATTTAGTCTGTGGTTGCAACTTTTAAAGTAGTTAATAATGTTGCACAAAATATAAATTTTGAAAATTATAGCATATGAATAATTGTTTAACTAGATATAATATCTACCATGAACTACCATATAAAACATCATTTTAAAGTGTGAAATACAGTATATTAAGTAAAAATCTAGCTCTAGAAATATTTACCGGTATGCTATAATCACTGCATGAAATTAAACACAATGTTTTTGTTATTGGTTTTATGTACTTTATTTTTATTTACTGAAAAGGCAATGGTAAATGATAACTTTGTTTTATGTCCCTCAATTCTTTTGAAAGGTACCCTCCAGTTTACCAAAACAAAAAAACAAAACAAAACAAAACAAAAAAAAAACCCTCAAAAAACACAATCAATAGTTAGCATAGAATTGACAGATACACCCACTCCTTTGCCAAAGGCCCATACTTATGTTATGCAGGCCAGTAGAAACCAAATTCAAATGGGGGGAGGGGCAATCATTTCAATTTTTCAGTTTAAGTCAGCACTATACCAAAGAAAAATTCCTTGAAAAACAAAATAAAAAGGTCCAATTGTAATTATTGAGGGGACACATCATAAAGAAACTTTTTTTTCTAGTATACTATTCACATATATGTATGCCACTCCATGCCCCTGGTTCCTACAGCCATGAAATATCAGCCAGGGTTACCTGTTAACAACAAAAAGAAATGAAACATTTCTTTTCTTTTTCTTTTCGTTGGTTTTAAAAAGGTACACTCTTTAAAAGTCATTGAACTATATATTCTCTCAGAAGACTGTATTCCAAAGAACAAAAAACCCAACTCATTTTTACTTGTAATATTTTATTTATTCACATTGTAAAGAATCTAAGTATATATGAGATTTAATAAGTACTGTTAAATATCACTGTCATTTCACTTTAATACTCTTCAAGATGGATGCAATAAAAACAGTTCTCATGTTTATAAATTTTTGTTGTCTCATTGTGAAGCTTTACATATATCATTTACTGGATGATTCCTTGAAAATAGCCATACATAACTCAGAAAATTTATATTTTATTGTTATACCAGATGTCACATCAAAAAGAATATATATTAAAATTAGATAATCATTTATAGATATATACAAAACTCAGAAAAACTTTAGAAAGCTTACATATAATTCATGATTGTAGATTCCATGTATAAATTTTAATTATTATATATAAATGTTAAAACATTAAAATTAATCATCATATAAATCAAATTAACAATGGAGTAGACATAAACACTTATTTATAGTGAGTATCATACTGCAGGAATGCACTTATCCTAAATATTCAATACCACATCATACATCAAATGTAATGGTATAATCCAAATCATTGTTATTAAAATTTAGTATAGGAAAAACATCTATAGAAAATGTCACACACAAATAAAATGTATGTTCATGCAGAATGTTCTTCAAGTCTATCCGGGCAATTACTACACATGTAATTATTTACTAGAATCTGGTGAGGAAATTAAATGTCTGGGGTGATGATAGCATATCTAGATGTTAAATTTGTCAATTTCATTTTTCAAAAATGTCAATTCATAAGTGATAATATTAGATGTCACAGATCCTGAACACAGGGTCATAGATCCTTTTAACAAAATCACAGATCCTTCCCACAAAATCACATATCCTTAACCAATGTCACAGATCTTTAAAACAAAACACAAGGTCACAGATCCTTAACACAAGGTCATAGATCCTAAAAGCAGGGTCACAGATCCTTAAAACAAGGTCACAGATCCTTTAAACAGGGTCACAGATCCTTAATGCTTAGGTCATTGGTCCTTTACACAAAATCACAGATCCTTAAAACAGGGTCACAGATCCTTAACACAAGATCACAAATTCTTCATAATAAAGCAGGGTCAAAGATCCATAATAGTCAATGACACAAATCCTTAACACAATGACACAGATCCTTTGTATTGCACAGCTTCCTTTGGTCAATGTCGTTAAGATAGCTTAGTTGATTCATGGGATATCATATTTTCTACCAAAGAAGAAAAAATATTAATTAGTTAAACTATAATAACAGTGGGAGATAAAATGATAGAAATTAAGAAGTGCGGGGTATAGAAATTATTTCTTACCAATATGTTTATGAATTCTTGAAATCTCTTCACATAAATGGGCAGTTGATAGTCTTCAATTCATACTGGGGTCAAGGTCTGTCTTCCCTCTGTTTATGAAAAAAATGTCAAGAATGTAAAGAGTACTTAAATTTTAATAATTAATTAGGAAGAAATAGAGTGCAAGTTGATGACAAACATTCAAATATTGCAGCTATTCACACAATTTCTAAAAATATACCTAAAGAAGATTTTTTCTTTTGCTAGTGTGAGCGAAAATTTTGTTAAGAAAAAAATTTAGTAAAATAAATGTAAAGAAGTTTTCGGGAATTGATACCAACAGCCTGATGTCTTGGCGGCCGAGTAAAGACTTCTAAAGATTGTATTAATTTTGATGGTTTAGGAAAGCAAACACCAAAAAATTCAAAATTTTTGTTTCTCTTCATCCACAGATGCTTTATACAAAAATGGTTGAAATTGGTTAAGTGGTTCCAAATAAACTGAAAATTTTCAATCTTAATGCACAATGAACAACAAACGATGACAGACAAAAACAGACAATAGTACATGTATGCCCTTAGTGACTTGGCTGACTTAAATTAACAAGATGAAAAATTTCCATTATGTGATTCTTTCTTACCCTGACTTCAGGGGTTGGCTGCAGTCTACCCCATCTGTATGTGAATAAAAGCTTGTCTTTTTAACACGGGGACAGAGGGCTGCATTACTTTGCATTTCTGAGAGAGAAAAAACATGAAAACAAATCAAAAGAGGTGGCAATTCTCATCATTGAGAAAGAAAGATATCCACATAAGACAGGTATTAAGACTTGAATCTTACCCTCTCTTCAATGGTTGGCTTAAGTCGATCCTTCCTCAAGAGACTCCTGAACATGGACTTGCATATCATAGTGGGATCAAGGCATACCTAACCATTCCTCTGATAACACAAAGAAACTCCTTTAATTAAGTTACAATAAAGAAAAGGGATCCAAAAGTTCAATAAAAGCAGTTCCCTACTTACCAATATTGCAAATGGTTATTAGACATAGCTGGGCAATGGACTCCTCTTCTTCTGTTCCTCTTCTTCCATTGTCGACTCCTCTTCTTCTTTTCCTCTTCTTCTGTTCCTTCTTCTGTTCCTCTTCTTCTGTTCCTCTTCTTCTGTAGGTCTGCCATAATCCTCCTTCCTGCAGTTGAATGAGAAACAAACTCCACCTCTCCATAGGATGTCACTATAAGTTCCAGGAAAACTTGAGCCAATTCTGAAAAGCAAAACTAAGACATTAAAGAATCATGTAGACGTTATATCAAATAAGAAAAATTCACTGAGAACATAGAGCAAACCAAGATTGAAACTTACAAACACTTGTGGCAGTTGGTTGCAATCATTTCTTCCACTATGAAAACTTCTACAATAAAATCTCCTGAAATCAAGGTCTCAGATCCTTTACCCAAAATCACAGATCCATAAATCAGGGTCACAGATCCTTAATGCTTAGGTCATTGGTCCTTTACCCAAAATCACAGATCCATAAAACAGGGTCACAGATCCTTAATGCTTAGGTCATTGGTCCTTTACGCAAAATCACAGATCCATAAAACAGGGTCACAGATCCTTAATGCTTAGGTCATCGGTCCTTTAAATAAAATCACAGATCCTTAAACCAGGGTCACAGATCCTTAATGCTTAGGTCATTGGTCCTTTACACAAAATCACAGATCCTTAAAACAGGGTCACAGCTCCTTAACACAAGTTCACAAATCCTTCATAATAATGTAGGGTCAAAGATCCACTAATCCTTAACACAATGACACAGATCCTTTGTATTGCACAGCTTCCTTTGGTCAATGTCGTTAAGATAGCTTAGTTGATTCATGGGATATCATATTTTCTACCAAAGAAGAAAAAATATTAATTAGTTAAAGTATGATAACAATGGGAGATAAAATGATAGAAATTAAGAAGTGCGGGGTATAGAAATTATTTCTTACCATTATGTTTATGAATTCTTGAAATCTCTTCACATAAATGGGCAGTTGACAGTCTCCATTTCATACTGGGGTCAAGGTCTGTCTTCCCTCTGTTTATGAAAAAAAAAAGTCAAGAATGTAAAGAGTACTTAAATTTAAATAATTAATTAAGAAGAAATAGAGTGCAAGTTGATGACAAACATCCAAATAATGCAGCTATTCATGCAAATTCTAAAAATATACCTAAAGAAGATTTTTCTTTTGCTAGCCTAAGTGTGAGTGAAAATTTTGCTTAAAAAAAGAGTTAGTAAAAAAATGTAAAGAAGGGTCCAGGAATTGATGCCAACAGCTTGATGTCCTGGAGACCTCCAGTAAAGACTTCAAAAGATTGTATTAATTTTGATGGTTTTAACCCAAACCCTCAGGCCCCAGGTAAGCAGAAACCAAAAAATTCAATATTTTTGTTTCTCTTCATCCATAGATGCTTTATACAAAATATGGCTGAAATTGGTTCAGTGGTTCCAAAGAAATTCAAAATTTTTAATCTTAACGCACAATGAACAACAAACGATGACAGACAAAAACAGACATCAGTTTACCTTAGTGACTTGGCTGACTTAAATTAACAAGATGAAAAAAATTCCATTATGTGATTCTTTCTTACCCTGACTTCAGGGGTTGGCTGCAGTCTACCCCATCCTTATATGAATGAAAGCTTGTCTTTTTAACACAGGTTACAGAGGGATGCATTACTTGCATCTTTAAGAGAAAAAAAAAACATGAAAAACGAATCAAAAGAGGTGGCAATTCTCATCATTGAGAAAGAAAGATATCCAAATAAGACAGGTATTAAGACTTGAATCTTACCCTCTCTTCAATGGTTGGCTTAAGTCGATCCCTCCTCAAGAGACTCCTGAACATGGACTTGCATATCATAGTGGGATCAAGGCATACCTAACCATTCCTCTGATAACACAAAGAAACTCCTTTAATCAAGTAACAATAAAGAAAAGGGATCCAAAAGTTCAATAAAAGCAGCTTCCTAATTAACAATTTTTAAAATGTTAGTTATTAGACATAGCTGGGCAATGGACTCCTCTTCTTCTGTTCCTCTTCTTCCATTGTCGACTCCTCTTCTTCTTTTCCTCTTCTTCTGTTCCTTCTTCTGTTCCTCTTCTTCTGTTCCTCTTCTTCTGTAGGTCTGCCATAATCCTCCTTCCTGCAGTTGAATGAGAAACAAACTCCACCTCTCCATAGGATGTCAATATAAGTCCAAGGAAAACTTGAGCCAATTCTGAAAAGCAAAACTAAGACATTAAAGAATCATGTAGACTTTATATCAAGTAAAAAAAAATTCACTGAGAACATAGAGCAAATCAAAGTTGAAACTTACAAACACTTGTGGCAGTTGATTTCAATCATTTCTTCCATTTTGAAAACTTCTGCAATAAAGTCTCGTCTTTTCTTATATCCATGAAAGGCTAATCATCATCCTGTTATTAAAAACAGAAATACAAAATTAAATTGTCCTGATTTCTTCAAAACAAAAGTGGACACAGTGCAAAATATGCACGTTGTGACTTACCCTCACGTCTGGGATTGGCCGCAGTCCATCACAGAACTCCTGCCGGCAGGTGACGGTCTGCTCTCTCTTCTGCGGAACCAGGCCAGTCTAACCCGTACCTGTTAACAAAGAAGTTTACAGGTCAAAACCAAAGTAACACTCCCCCAACACAGAATGAGTAACAAAAGTCCACAGAGTGCAAGATGTACAGATGGCATGTCTCATTACCTTCAATGCTTGGGTGGGCTGCAGTACATCCCTGAACTCTTTGCACTCCCTCTGGCAGGCCGAAGTGCGCACTTCATCTCGGAATCCACAACAGCCTAATCCGGAACCTGTAAACACCAAAGGTGCAGAAGTCAAAGAACTGTGCAAAGGCTGATGAAAAGACTAGACATAGAGACAGTGCACAGAGTGCAGGGCGTGCACAATGTATCTTACCAACCTTGGCTCTGCCGCAGTTGACCTCTGAACTCTCAGCACTCTTGCTTTTCAGCTGAGGGTCTCCTCTTCAGAGCTGGAGGTAGAGGGCTGCACTACGCTGCATCTCTACGGTAGAAAGACAAGACATCAAGAGAGGTGGCGATCTTCATGCGGTGAGAATCAGAACACAAATCAAAGCAGTTAGTACAGGTTTAAACTTCAATCTTACCCTCTCTTCGATGGTTGGCTGCAGTCGATCCCTGCTCACCAGAATGCTGCTGTACGTCACAGTGGGACTGACGCTTGCCTAACCATTTTCCTGAAACACACAGAAAGTCGGGAGGTCAAATGAGCACCCTTGCTGCTTTGATCAAGTTATAATGCACAACAGGGATCCAAAATAGCTACAAAAGCAGATTGTTACTCACCGCTTTGGCCAATGTTGGCCGCCGTACATAACTGGGCATCTTCATCTGTGTGTAGGCCGGCCTTCTTCCTTCCGCGTCGTCCCTGCTCCGAGTCCCTGAAAATATACAACTGACACAAAATTAGTACAAATTCAAAACAATGAAACAAATCGAAGAAATTCATCAACACTACATACAACAAATTTAGTGGAAAAAGAAGCTAGTAGGTGAAGACAGTTACATGGGGAAAGGGCATAAGGGAGTTAAGGGGGTGGGGATGGTTAGTCATGTTAGATTAGGGGGAGTGGATAGGAGACAGGAAAGAGAGAGAACAGAATCAATAGAATTAATTCAAAATGCTTCTCTATTAGGCTTCCTGGTTGTGGAATTGGATCCTGCTTGCTTCCACTTCTGCTGGGCTGTGCTGGGCTCAGGTGGGCTCTGCTGGGCTGTGCTGCTTGCTGTGCATCCTGTCAATTGAGAGTCGAGAGGTCCAAGACTGATACGGTCAACATTAATCGCTAGCGAGGAAAAGATCAAGAAAGGCTACAAGAAGTCGAGTCTGAATCTTACCGCATCTTCTCATGATGGCTGCTGTTGGCATCCGGGTCGGCCAGGAACGAAAAACCTCCTCTCCTGCTAACAAAGCAAAACCAAGACATCAAAGTTACTGCATAGAGTTATCAGAATTCAGCATATGCAAAGAGCAAAGTTAAGATGTCCGTAACACAGGCACAAAGTAATGAAAGTGGACAGAGTGCAATGTGTGCACGTTGCGACTTACCCTCACGTCTGGGATTGGCCGCAGTCCATCACAGAACTCCTGCCGGCAGGTGACGGTCTGCTCTCTCTTCTGCGGAACCAGGCCAGTCTAACCCGTACCTGTTAACAAAGAAGTTTACAGGTCAAAACCAAAGTAACACTCCCCCAACACAGAATGAGTAACAAAAGTCCACAGAGTGCAAGATGTACAGATGGCATGTCTCATTACCTTCAATGCTTGGGTGGGCTGCAGTACATCCCTGAACTCTTTGCACTCCCTCTGGCAGGCCGAAGTGCGCACTTCATCTCGGAATCCACAACAGCCTAATCCGGAACCTGTAAACACCAAAGGTGCAGAAGTCAAAGAACTGTGCAAAGGCTGATGAAAAGACTAGACATAGAGACAGTGCACAGAGTGCAGGGCGTGCACAATGTATCTTACCAACCTTGGCTCTGCCGCAGTTGACCTCTGAACTCTCAGCACTCTTGCTTTTCAGCTGAGGGTCTCCTCTTCAGAGCTGGAGGTAGAGGGCTGCACTACGCTGCATCTCTACGGTAGAAAGACAAGACATCAAGAGAGGTGGCGATCTTCATGCGGTGAGAATCAGAACACAAATCAAAGCAGTTAGTACAGGTTTAAACTTCAATCTTACCCTCTCTTCGATGGTTGGCTGCAGTCGATCCCTGCTCACCAGAATGCTGCTGTACGTCACAGTGGGACTGACGCTTGCCTAACCATATTCCTGAAACACACAGAAAGTCGGGAGGTCAAATGAGCACCCTTGCTGCTTTGATCAAGTTATAATGCACAACAGGGATCCAAAATAGCTACAAAAGCAGATTGTTACTCACCGCTTTGGCCAATGTTGGCCGCCGTACATAACTGGGCATCTTCATCTGTGTGTAGGCCGGCCTTCTTCCTTCCGCGTCGTCCCTGCTCCGAGTCCCTGAAAATATACAACTGACACATAATTAGTACAAATTCAAAACAATGAAACAAATCGAAGAAATTCATCAACACTACATACAACAAATTTAGTGGAAAAAGAAGCTAGTAGGTGAAGACAGTTACATGGGGAAAGGGCATAAGGGAGTTAAGGGGGTGGGGATGGTTAGTCATGTTAGATTAGGGGGAGTGGATAGGAGACAGGAAAGAGAGAGAACAGAATCAATAGAATTAATTCAAAATGCTTCTCTATTAGGCTTCCTGGTTGCGGAATTGGATCCTGCTTGCTTCCACTTCTGCTGGGCTGTGCTGGGCTCAGGTGGGCTCTGCTGGGCTGTGCTGCTTGCTGTGCATCCTGTCAATTGAGAGTCGAGAGGTCCAAGACTGATACGGTCAACATTAATCGCTAGCGAGGAAAAGATCAAGAAAGGCTACAAGAAGTCGAGTCTGAATCTTACCGCATCTTCTCATGATGGCTGCTGTTGGCATCCGGGTCGGCCAGGAACGAAAAACCTCCTCTCCTGCTAACAAAGCAAAACCAAGACATCAAAGTTACTGCATAGAGTTATCAGAATTCAGCATATGCAAAGAGCAAAGTTAAGATGTCCGTAACACAGGCACAAAGTAATGAAAGTGGACAGAGTGCAATGTGTGCACGTTGCGACTTACCCTCACGTCTGGGATTGGCCGCAGTCCATCACAGAACTCCTGCCGGCAGGTGACGGTCTGCTCTCTCTTCTGCGGAACCAGGCCAGTCTAACCCGTACCTGTTAACAAAGAAGTTTACAGGTCAAAACCAAAGTAACACTCCCCCAACACAGAATGAGTAACAAAAGTCCACAGAGTGCAAGATGTACAGATGGCATGTCTCATTACCTTCAATGCTTGGGTGGGCTGCAGTACATCCCTGAACTCTTTGCACTCCCTCTGGCAGGCCGAAGTGCGCACTTCATCTCGGAATCCACAACAGCCTAATCCGGAACCTGTAAACACCAAAGGTGCAGAAGTCAAAGAACTGTGCAAAGGCTGATGAAAAGACTAGACATAGAGACAGTGCACAGAGTGCAGGGCGTGCACAATGTATCTTACCAACCTTGGCTCTGCCGCAGTTGACCTCTGAACTCTCAGCACTCTTGCTTTTCAGCTGAGGGTCTCCTCTTCAGAGCTGGAGGTAGAGGGCTGCACTACGCTGCATCTCTACGGTAGAAAGACAAGACATCAAGAGAGGTGGCGATCTTCATGCGGTGAGAATCAGAACACAAATCAAAGCAGTTAGTACAGGTTTAAACTTCAATCTTACCCTCTCTTCGATGGTTGGCTGCAGTCGATCCCTGCTCACCAGAATGCTGCTGTACGTCACAGTGGGACTGACGCTTGCCTAACCATTTTCCTGAAACACACAGAAAGTCGGGAGGTCAAATGAGCACCCTTGCTGCTTTGATCAAGTTATAATGCACAACAGGGATCCAAAATAGCTACAAAAGCAGATTGTTACTCACCGCTTTGGCCAATGTTGGCCGCCGTACATAACTGGGCATCTTCATCTGTGTGTAGGCCGGCCTTCTTCCTTCCGCGTCGTCCCTGCTCCGAGTCCCTGAAAATATACAACTGA